AACCGCTTTCTGATCCCTAGACTGCAGGGTTAAAGATCAAACCAACTAATCAGGAGTGTGAAGTTCAGTCAGTCAGAGATGATTGGCTTCGATGCCAGAGGAGTGATGAGGTCAAAGAGATATAAGTGGAATAAATGGAGAGAAGACAGCTGTAAAGAGAAAAATTAGTTTACAGGTGGACAGATCACATAAATTATTTAGGCACAGCTGCTTCTTCTATCCACCATGGATCCGAGGTCCTGTCTCTCATGGATATAAGACTCTGATGTGCTGTGAAATATTGCTGCTACATCTATTCCATAATGCAGAGAATGCTGTAATAGGAGAGGTGGAGAGGTGCAGAGAAGAACAGATTTCCCAGAAAGAAACCTGAAGTTACAGTATCATGGTAGTATCACCCTTGCATCTTGGCACGTGAAGCCGCTGCCTCACAAGAAACACAAGCTGACATCACAGGAAGCTCACAACCACTCAGCAGGAATTATGCGAGGCTTAAAAACCAACAAGTTATTGTACTTTTGCGCTCACACAGGCAAATAGCAAAAAACTTGACCTTGAACATAGACAACATAACAGGTTTCCTATGTTAAAAAATAGAAAGAGGGAAAGATAACTTGGTGTTTCAGACAAAAATGTTTATATACAAAACAATCACAGTACAGCTCAGTGCCGTGGTTTATGATTGCCATGTTTACGCTAAATACTGTGTTTAAGACGATTATATAAGCTATAAGTCTAAACCGTAATAATTGTTATGATGATTTTGTTTAATTCTTGAACATGTGGTTTAAAAACACATCTGTCTTTAAACAATAAGCTGCAGTCAATTCTGGAAATGTGGTTACAAATTCCACTCGCGCTGTTTGGTTCAGGGTATAGATATTAGTTGTTGTGTGACAAGAAGCTTAAAACTGTCTGTTTCCACTCTTTGGCCATCAGAACATCTTGACTTTAACTGAGCCTGAACTCACCTGAGTCATCTGACAAAACAGCAAACACATAAGGGCTTAGAAGAGAAGAAAACAGGGGATGGCATTTGTGAAACTAAAGAAAGGAGAAATGAGAAACTGCCCCCCAAAAAAGGAAAGGGTCTTATGACAGCATCAGTCCATTTTTTTTGCTCTATGACCTACATTGAGCAAACTGGAATTTGGGGCATATGTGTGTCCTGTGTGGCTGAGAGAGATTGAGATGGGGCAGTACAAGATGTTCTTGTTGTGCATATCTAATTATGTGTGATGCATATCTAACATCATTAGCCCGGTAATGCTTTCTAAATGCCTGTTTGTGTGAGGCGTATGGCCGTGGGTCTGAGTGTTTAAGTTTGGCTAGGCTTTTTCCAAGCTACTGGTGGATCTAAGGTAAGTCAGGGTTGCCCTTTCACAGCTCTAACCAGCTTTACGTGGATCAGAAGCACATTGCACAACCAAGCCCACCAGCAGGCGGACCCAGTTTGGGTTTGGTTCCACATGGGTGGAGTGAGAACAAACTCCTTTAAGAGTGTGTGTGTGTGTGTGTGTGTGTGTGTGTGTGTGTGTGTGTGTGTGTTGTGTGTGTGTGTGTGTGTGTGTGTGTGTGTGTGTGTGTGTGTGTGTGTTTGGGCACAATGCAAGGAGCCACTGGGCAGGGGACAGGTCCGTGCAGACCCTTTTGTCTTTCTTACTGATAAAGTCTAATCCGAGTGGGATCAGAGAGCCCCTCAATTACGAATTACAAAAAAACACACTCTCAGTTTTCCTCATTAGGCTGCACATGCTCCAGTGATGCAGTGCCTGTCGCTTCTTGCTTCAGTGGCTCAGCACATCAACATGTTTGGCTCTGTTAACCCTGGGAAATTAGCCTAATCCTTCAGCTCACCATCTTTAATTACATGCATGATTAGTCACAGAAAAACTGGACCATTGGGGATGACACTGATTGTACAGACAATTTGTTCAGTAACTGGAACTCTTTATCTGCATCAGAAAGTTGGAGATGAAGCATTGCTTTGCTATGTGTGGTAGCATTACAGTATGAGTCTGTATGAAAATGAGATTATCACTATGCACTGACTAGTCATAGAGATACAGTATATGAGCTGTCTGTAGAGTTGTAAAAGAGGACTACCCTTGTAAACAATCCGACTGACCAGCTGTGCTCGGTTCCTTTGCTTATGTAACTGAAGAACTCTGCTGACAGTAAACTTATTGATCTGTGACAGGGCGTTTATTTAGTGCCAGTGTGTATGGGTCACTCAGCCCTCTTATCACAGTATCTGAAACCTCTATCTACTCTGTATTGCAGGGCACTCAAGTTCAGGGTTCAGCCAACTCGCCCTTTGCCCTCTTTATCTTTAGTCTGAGGGTCCATATTTGGTTATTCAGATAACTGAGTCCACTGTAAGACAAGAGCGAACTGAGACATCGTCACATTTACTCCATAGAGTGGTCATATGGATGAAATGGGCACTTCATTCATGCTTGCCCTCATGGAGCTATTTATACTGTTTTGTTTATAGCCGAGAACACGCCAGGTGCTTCTCTGAAGCGTCATTTCTTAGTTCTCTACTGTGCCATGCCAGCCAAGCAGGCTTTTCTAGTTCTCTGATTCATTTGATCTCACTGGCTGCCCATCAAGAGGATTTAATAATGAGTAGACTTACTGTGGACAACAGTTGTCACAGGAGGTAAATTGACTCATGGATGTGGGCCTTCTTGTTTTTAACACCATTGTATACAACACAATGCGAAACCATTTCATTTCAAAGCCAAATTACCTAGAAATGTTATAGGACTTGCCAAATCTGTAGTGTTTACCAGTACTAAGAGGAATGTGCCCTTGGGTAAGTGTAATGTGTGTGAGGTGAAGGGACTGGTTTTTCTTGTCCTGAGTACTCCTCTCTATTGGCTGGCACAGACATAGACAGAGAGACTGGGAGTTGATATAGTCTCAGATTAAGGCTCAGACTCGCAGTCTGCCCTGCGGCTTCTTGTTCAACTCGATTACAGGATTTTTACTTCACATATTAACTCTCTGATTGAAAAACAATGCGTTACCCTTTCTGATATTTGTCTTTGTTTTTGTGGGGCTGTGTGTTGCTCATTCATCCATGTGGTTCATTCATTTATTTGTTGTTAAAAGTGACGTGGGCGAGATCAATTATTGATATTCCATCCTATTGTTGCACTTCCTGTACGGCGACCCGTACATACAGTCAATAACAAAAATCTAACCTGTTTATAGGTAGACAGCTTGTTGCTTGTATGTAATAGCTGTATGTTTATTTTTGTTTATATCTATTTAGGTTGACATGTATGCCTGTGTCTGCATCCTAAAAACAACATTTGTTCACCGCAGCTGTGGTGGAAGAAATATTCAGTTCCTTAAAAATAAAAATAAATACAGTTAAGTATTGTATTATTTAATTATTATTTATGCATTTATGTGTAAGTAGTATTTAACTGTTGTAGCTCGCCGAGATTGGAAAGTTTATTTTTTGCTCCCAGTGAACCGGATAAAGTCGAATGAGAAAGTCCCTGACTGGAGTTATTTCTGCTGCAAGTGAGGATGATTGACGGCAGCTCAGAGGATGATGTCACCCTTTCAGCTGTGAGGGGAGGGAGGGGGCGGGGCTTCTCGCACTGCCCAGTTGACAGAGTTTCAGGTGCGCTTCAACTTTCACAACAAGCCCGGCGAGCTGGAGCGACAGTAGCGTCCGACGAAACTTCCAAGAAACCGGCGCGGGGGTTTTATAGGCGAGGACTGAGCTGTTTAACTCTACCGAAGTGTCAGAGCAGATGAAAATATACAGCTCCAGTTCACTTTGGGGACAATGCACTGGGAACAGTTTCTCCATTTGGGGAATGGAAAGGTGAGCCACTTTTTTTTTTTTTTGCACGTTGAGGTCGCTTTTGTGATAGAAGATGACTTGTCAGATAGTTTGCTTGTTTGGTTTTACTTGTCCATAGTTGAAATAAACTGGAAAAAAGAAATTTCTCTTTCTCCCGGATGCGTTGTGGTTTCTGTTGTTGACTGTGGTGTCTGTCATCAATTAGTCATTCTGTTGCGTATGCAGGTGAGCCTCTCGTGCCGTTCGTTTTTACCTGTTATGGAGTGGTAGTAATGTTGTAATGAGTGATGTGTAAGTGGTGGATGCCTCGGTTTCTCTGATCCTCTTGCTTTTAGTTTTTCTGGGTGGCTTCGGACCCCCTATGGTGTGCTGTCGGGCTCAGCTGCTTATTTTGTAGTGATGAGAATATTTTGATCCCCCCCCAAAGCAGGATCGGTTTCAGCAGCGCCCCCAATGTTCTGTGTTCTGTGTGTTCGTCCCCTGAGGTGTTTGAGGAAATGAATCACATCGGATGCTTAGGTGCTAGGTTCATTATCTTCTCAAGTAGATTGTATCTAGTTTTAGGCAAATACAGGAAGACTCCAATTTAGATAGTGTCTTTGATTTTTACACACATGCTTTGTGGCTTCTCCTCAGTATCTGAAAAAGCAACACAGACAAATATTCTTAATCTAATATCCTGTCAGTATTGTCCTACATTGTCACTCCCTGAACAAACAAACAGAGATTGGGCTGATGCTCTTTTCATTCTGATCTTGTCTGTTTAACCAAAGAAAAAGAGATGTGCGGATAGCTCTAGATTCACATGTGGAAGCATTGAGTTCTGTATGCATTTGCTTTTTGAAAAATACGTTTTTTTTTCACTTTCTTTTCTTTGTAAAGCCCTGAACGAAAAAATCATATCTTGCGTCTTTCTGTTCTGGGGAACTGACCGCGAGTGGCCTTTTCAGCTGGCTCAGTTTGCCCTTTTTACAGGCGACTGGCTGCAGAAATGCAGAAGCCTCTGTTTTTATTGTATGTCAGCAAAATGACTAAGAGCCCTCACCATGCAACTCACACTTTTTCTTCCTTGTTCCCCCCTCTTTTATTTTCCTCTTCAATCCCTTATTTCCTCCCCCGACTCCCTACCTACCCAATCTCCCTCTCTTCTTTTCCCATATCCTCACTTCAGATCGACCGGCTGGAGGTGAGCGGGCTAGGACAAACACCCCTGGCTGTTTCATGTGGAGCAGACGGTTCTTTCCAGGGAGGTGAGGATGGCACCCCAGACCCTCAGCGCACTAAGCAGGCAATTGCCCAGCTGCAGCAGAAAATCCTCAAGCTCACAGAGCAGATTAAGATCGAGCAGACAGCCAGGGATGACAACGTTGCTGAGTACCTCAAACTTGCCAACAACGCTGACAAACAGCAAAGCACACGCATCAAACAGGTAAAAATTAGGAGTTGTTGCACTCTGTGAAACTATTAATATGTATATTGATTAATCCAGGGGACAAGGGACACCCTGGTAGCTCACCTGGTAGAGCTGGCGCACCCATGTGTCAAGGCTGAGTCTTTGCTGCAGTGGACATAGGTTTGAGTCTGACCTGTGGCCCTTTGAAGCGTATTGTCCCTTCTTTCTCTCTAATTGGCTTATATTTGTATCAGGCTGGTAAGTTTATGTGACAATCAGTGCATTGACACTTAACCTGTTTGTTCAGTTTGTTCATCCTTAGAGGTAGGGAGGGAACTTACTAGATACATTGAAGTAGATTATTTATTTCAGTGTAATGTTTATTCCCCTCACTTATGGAACTCTGTTCTGGAACTGTCAGGTTTTTGAGAAAAAGAACCAGAAGTCTGCGCAGACCATCCAGCAGCTGCAAAGGAAACTAGAGCACTACCACCGGAAGTTGCGGGAAGTGGAGCACAACGGTATCCCTCGCCAGCCCAAGGATGTTCTGCGGGACATGCAGCAGGGCCTAAAGGATGTCGGAGCCAAAGTCACAGGCTTCAGTGAAGGCGTAGTGGATAGCGTAAAGGGAGGCCTCTCCAGCTTCTCCCATGCCACCCACTCTGCTGCCGGGGCTGTCGTTTCCAAACCCCGGGAGATTGCATCGCTGATTCGCAACAAATTTGGCAGCGCTGAAACAATCCCCTCACTTAAAGACTCTCTGGACGACCCATCAGTGGAAGAAGGTGTGACAGGTGCTGGCGGACGTTCGCTGGGCAGTGCAGGGCATCACCTCCAGCCCAGTCCCAAGTATGGTAGTGAGGATGACAGCTCTAGTGCCACATCAGGCTCAGCGGGGGCCAACAGCACCACAGGGGCCCCTGGAGGTCCCCCCAGTTCCAAGGGTAACACACTGGAGAGGAGCCAGAGCTCCAGCCTAGACATGCTGCTGCAAGAGGTGCAGGAGCTGAGGGAGGGCCAGGCAAGGCTAGAGGAGAGCCTTGATGGTTTGAAGAGCCACTATCAGAGAGAATACACAGTTGCAATACAAGCACTGCAGGAGGAACGCTTCAGGTACAGAGAGAAAAGAGAACATACGAGAAATGTGTATCATACATTCCTGAGCCATGTCTAGTTTAGCACGAGAAATCCCTAAAACTTCAACAGTATGTTTATTTTTGGAAACATACACCTGAACACATACTGATCATTCATATCATTTCTGTTTTATTACATTTTCTGTATCATCACAGGCAACACTCGCTGTGCTTGTGCTCTAGAGAGTTCTTTTATCAAAGCTAGGCCACAGTAGATAAAAACAAAACCTTGAACTGGGCCTGCTCTTAATAAATGGGTAGTTTCCACAGAGGTGCTGCACTTACTCTCAAAGCATATGTGCTATTTTTATCTATATTATTCAGCTTTTGAATGGCAGTCATTATCCTCCTATAAACAGTACTGTTACAATAAATGAACTCTGTTACTCAAACACATTGCTTCAGAATTTATACTGAACTGTATATTAAAATGTTACTAGCATCAGAGCTGCAGATAAGAAAATGTTAGTTTTGTTGTTTTGAGTAAGCAGTGGAAATTTAAATTGAGCCTCCACAAACGTGACAGCCACACCTGCAGGTGTCCTCTTTCTCCAAAGATCTTTGGTGTTATTTCAGCCCTTGTCCCCTGCTCTGCATATCTCAGTTTAGACTCAGACATCTGTGTGCAGCTTTTGTTTTGGTCTGTCTGTGGGCAGTTGGCCTTAAAAAACACAGTCACATTCCTCGAGAATGTTCTGACAGGAGGGCACAAAGATTAAGAGGACAGGGCAAGGGCAGGGAGGGGAGATATACCAAGCAGCTTACATAGTTAAAGAAACATGAGCATTTTTCTCCCTAAAATGTCCATCTGAGTCCAGAGCGGTCTGTGTTTGTCTTCTGGGACCAAAATAATTGTGAACAGAATGACCACTAAGGAGCTGTTTTCAGCCTGCCCACTGGGAGTAATAATTCATAAACCAATCATGTTGCTAAATAGTTCCTCACAGACTCAGTCAATCCTTTGCATAACCTAAAATGTGACTTTCTCAAGGAGGGCTTTAAATAACTATTATTTTCATTGTTGATGAATGTAAAGCTGAAACGATTAACCATCAGTAGGAAATTAATCTGCAGAAATTTTGATAATCAATTAACTAACTAATGGGTTTTTGAAGACATCAGCTCTGGGAAAATTTGATTTTCCCCATTCCTGATTTTCTGATGTTATAGACCAAACCAAGTAAATTATCTGTAGATTAATTAGTAATGAAAATAATCTGTATTTATTCTTTCTCACATAATGGATTAGTCCTTTATTGTATAGGCTTTTTTTCTATCTATTCTTTTCCTATGTTGGCCATCCAATTGTATGTGCCTGCCAAAATAAACAGCAGTATAGATCCCTCTCCTCCTGCTGGATACCTCCCATTGGCCAGTCTGACACCGCTTACTGTGTCTGATTGGCCAGTTGGATCAGCAGATGAGTAAGCATGTCCTAATCTTGTCAGGGCGACTCATCAGTTCAGTCAGGTGCCATGTGGTCAGCCTTCAGGGTCTGTTTCCACTAATTCCTGCATGTGTTACTTTGTCTAAGCTAGTTATGCCCCAGACTCTCACGTGTGTTTTTCTGTGTTTGTGTGTTCAGGTGTGAACGTCTGGAAGAGCAGCTGAACGACCTGACCGAACTTCACCAGAATGAGATCCTCAACCTCAAACAGGAGCTTGCCAGTATGGAGGAGAAGATTGCCTACCAGTCTTATGAGAGAGCCAGAGACATACAGGTCTGTCCATCAGCCTAACGTCCACAAGCACATGTCAGAAATAAATTAGCTTTAGAAATGAGCTTAGGATTACATTTTCTTATTCTCTCATTGAACTTAAAATTGGCTGTTTCAAAGATTGCAGACTGCTGTATAACTGAATTGTCAGAAAGGGATGATAAGAAATTTTAGAGGTTAAAGCAAAGTGTTCAATTAAATGGCCAGTTCTGGTCCACGCTTCTGACGAGTTGAGTCATTGAAAGCCATTGCAAAATAGCTGATAAACACACACAAAAAACTGCATTAAATTCCATCTTCTGACATTTTTGGATGTTGATGTTTAAAGCAATAAGCCACTTAACACACAATTTAATGGTTTTTTTGCCTTTACTGGCATATATAGCATGGGAAGATTTTTAAAATGAATAATCGTATTGGTAAATAAAGATATTTAAATAAGTGAACCTTTTAATCTTTGAAATACTTCTGTATTTTATTAAAACTCAAATCAATGTCATGAAATTTTGTCTTTGTTTCAGAGTGAGGCTTTTAGTGTCATAATGTCACCTAATTACATTAATAATCCTGTTTCCTGGCCTCATGCTCCCAATCTCTTAGCACGCTCAGCAGCTGCTACTTAATTTGGCCAAGTAGCTTCCGTTAGCTAGAGCAACAGCAATGCCAAAGTAATTCTGGACTGTTGTCAAAATAAGAGTGGCAAAATGACATTTCACTATGGTAAAATACAATTTTAATAATTTAAATTACTGGTTTATGTATGTAGTTTTCTGTAAATATTCTTATTATATTATTGTGTCTGTATTTAATTTGGCCATGTAGAGTTCCACACTAACAGATCTTGCAAGAAAAAGAACTCTACTTCTTTAACTTACTGATGTATTTAGTAATAAGCCAATGTGGACTGAAAGTTTAAGGTGGTCACACACCCTTAAACATGCAAAGGCATTAGCTCATTGTACAAGTTGACACTGTAAACATGAAGATTAGACAGAGAATCCAGTCTGTCCAACGTCTTTTGTCTTTGTTTCCTTGTAAATGACTCACATTACTTCAGTCCTTTCCTGCTGTCTGTGAGGGTTTGTGTGTGTGTGTGTGTGTGTGTGTGTGTGTGTGTGTGTGTGTGTGTGTGTGTGTGTGTGTGTGTGTGTGTGTGTGTGTGTGTGTGTGTGTGTGTGTGTGTGTGTGCCTGCATCAAGTGTATTTACAGTCTAAGTTGCCCCTTGCCTGCATTTATTTTCCCCAGCAGCAGGGGGCGGTGAAGGTCTATGAAATATACAGGCAGTTGCCTTTCTATTAGGGACACCTGTTAAATGCAACAGCAACCATAAATTCTACCATTACGAAGATAATAATGTCCAGTTTTGATTGGCAGAGATATTAATTTAACTATGTTTATGATTATGGCTTTTAGTGGTGCTGACCTGTACTACATCTTATAGATATCTACATGTTTATGTTTGAAGAAAATGACTTCGCTGAGTGATTTTTGTTTCTTCTGCGTGTCCTCTGCAGGAGGCGTTAGAGGCGTGTCAGACCAGGATCTCTAAGATGGAGCTCCAGCAGCAGCAACAGCAGGTTGTCCAGTTGGAGGGGCTGGAAAATGCCACAGCCAGGACCCTCCTGGGAAAACTTATCAATGTGCTGCTGGCCCTTATGGCTGTCCTTCTGGTCTTTGTCTCAACTGTGGCCAACTGCGTGGTTCCCCTGATGAAGACACGATCGCGCTCTCTCTCCACCCTCCTCCTCATCCTCCTACTGGCCTTCTTGTGGCGAAACTGGGACGCTCTCTCGGGGTACACACATCGTGCTCTACAGCCACCAGGATGACCAGATTGAAGCCAGCACATGTTGCTTTGTTGACACCAGGAGATGTAACTGTAGCTGCCGTCATGCAGGAAGTTTGAAGAACGTGATTGCCGTTAGGATGGCAGCGTGGCCGTGCACTGAAAATTCGGCTGAGCACATTCGGACACGGCTTGGAATCATGAAAAAGAGGAAGAAACAGAGTAGAGTTGAGAACACTCATGATTGTCACTTAGGAAGGACGAGACTGTTTACATTTTTAAAAATGAACTGTTGTGTTGCTACCCCTCACAGAATGCAACATTGTACTGTTTTTATCTTTAGAGTTTAATCAATTATAATGTATTATTTCTAATAATATTATTTTTATTTTGAACGTTATTTTATTCAGTACCATGTAGCATTACGCTCCTCTCAGTCTACATGAAGGGGAGTTTAGTCGTGAAACTGGGTTGGCGATTCGCTGAAAGGCCCAGTCTGATTGTAGAGACATACAAATGCAAATGTGATAACGTGGTTGATTGCCTGTAGGAAGAGAACTCTTACCTAGCTGTGATTGGTAGATTTCAACCATGGCTGAAAACCTTCCTGGGAGTTGCTCCTGTTTTGCTGTGATGAAATTTGTTCGGACAGAACATTTTGAAGGACTGACCATGACCTTTGAGTGTCATGATGACTAAAGACTTTTTGTGCTTCCTCACCATTTCTAATAGAAAAGATCACATGCTTTTACTTATTTCTTTTTTTTAAGTAAAACAAGAAAAACTGTGTTAAATGTGATTAATGAAACAAAGAAATGAAACAAACAGAATGAGCCAGCGTTAGAGGGGAAAGCTACAATGGGCCGCTCACCATAGAAACAGCACATAAACACACACAGAACATCTGGTTATTGTTAAACATCTGCCATATGTGCACATGTAAACAATACTGCATGTTTTCATTAAGAAAAATTACATAGGAATCAACTTTGCTTTTAAAAGCAATGACATAAGGCCATTGTCCAAGTAAAATCAATTTGCCAGGATAATTGCCTTCCCCCGCCATGTTTGATGTGATCAGGTTAGGAAGAGAGACCACTGGTGCTTATCCAGCTCCATCTCAGTTGGAACGGGTATGCTGCTCATATCTACAGCGCAAGTTGTCGCCACTGCCATGCCAGTCAAATGCACACTGCCTGTATGTGATATTGTACTATTCATCACACGTTCTCCCCGCGTATTCTTTCTGTAGCCGTCCTTTTTCTATGAGTACATCTTATGGTGTACTTCACCTTGTGCCAAACCTTAGTCTACCCTGGGATGCGTGAGCACCCAAAGGGTCCATGCTGAGAAGAGAGAAATGGGGAGCTCAGCAGGTCTTGCTTTTATTCCGATATGTCATGAATGTCTTGCCTGGAAGTCAAAGATGTACCTCTTTGGGAGACATAACTCTTGCAAGGGAAAATCTATTAGAGAATTCACAATCTGGACATGAACTTGACTCCAGATCACAGTCCTTTTCTCCTTGAGTACAGTTCCTTGGCTCGCATCCAGTCTTTCTTATTCTCTCTTTCTCATCTAGTCAAGGACACAACATGATGACATAGCACATTAATTAGTTCACCCTGCATTTCAAGCTGAGATGCTGATTTCCTAACAGATAGTGAGATCATTTGAACTGTACAGCTGCACTTTAGCACACGGGTGGATAACATGTAGGTCAGGCTGAAGTTTGAGAGACCTTTGATAGAGACTTCAAAGGTTGTCACTCTTTAAGACAGCAGTCTTGTGGGATAAGAAGAGTTGACTCAGGTCAGGATCACTGTCATCCTTGTCTGAAGATCAAACCCACAGAGAGGAATTTAGTTCATTTCTTGTCAAAACGTCGATAAACTCTATCCCTCCAAATTCAGACATGCAATTGTAACGATTTTGCCATTGCGGGTGCAGCAGACAAGTTGAGAATGAGCTGATCTTTGACCTTAGCCTGACCTTGCAGTAACACCTATGATGTAGGTTATGTGCTAGACCACTCCAGTGCCTTCTGATGTCCTTTTCAAGTGTGGAATAAATAAAAGTGCATTCCTGACTTACTCATGAGCCATCACTGTTTGTGACTTGTTTAAATTAATATCTGTGTGAGTTGTTATTCAAAGGGTGCATGTCAGCTTTGGGGATTTTATTACTGCATGGTAGGGTTTCCTTTTTGAATCCCCTTTTTGAAAGTCACCCCTTGCAGGTTCGCCATTTAACCACGAGATGGCGATATTTTGCTTTGAATGTAAGGATGTTCCTTGTCCCCCCTCAATGTCTGTGAAGGGCTCTGTTTAGTTTGTGTGAATGGTCCGCTATAAGGGAGGTGGGGGTCTAAACACAAGGAGGTGTCACTCCTTATCGGGAAGGAAACAGGTTGGGTGGAAAGCCCTTTAACCGCAGTCTTACTGCCAAAGAGTGGGCCAACAGGGACAATATTTTCATAATAAACACAGGAGAGACCACGTCCCCTACTTTATTCTACTGTTCTCTCTCTCTCTCTTACTTACACACACACACACACACACACACAAGCTTATTTCCGTTAAATGTTTGATTGAGCAGCACCAAACCGCAACACTCAGTCACACCTCGCCGGTGATATCTGATGCTGACAGCTCTGACCCACGGCGAGCCTGATCCCTGCAGGACCTCGTGCACGCCTCTTCACTGCCTCACGCACGCGCACAGACTGTTGGTGGCTCAGTCGCTGTGCTGTGCAGTTGGGGGTCATTATGTTGCACTTTATCAGAGCGCTTTCCTCCTTTTCTACACTGCCAGATTTGATGCGCATGGCTGTGCGCCAAGGTAAACACGGGGCGCACTTATCTGCCCCACTGAAAGCTGCAAGTGGTGGCGGAGGGAGCCGCGCGAGAGAGAGTGAGTTTGTCCCCAGAGAAGTCCACAGTAAATAGGCACAAGGATTGCGCACGGTTTAGCATCAACTTTAATTATTGCATGTATTCAGAGATAACACTTCTCGGGCTCCCCTGCAAACTGATTTATGCAGTGTCTGACACATTCGTGTTCGTTTCCCAACTAGGGATCATTCATTTCTATTCAGAGATGTGAGCATATGCACACTCCATCCAGAGACAAAAATGCTAACCATATTCGTGCATTTTGAGTGGGGGCGCATGTGTTGTGCTTGAATATTTATGAGGTAAAGCGCGCAAGAAAGCTATGTTGGATAGATGTGAATGTCAAAAACCGGAAAGGTGTGCTGATGTGCCCATCTGGTAGCACTTTCACGGTGCTTACTGTGCCGTATGTGCCCAAAACGGAACCCTCCGGATCTGCAGAACTAATCTGAGAGCCGGGGGACTGGGGAGCACAGGAGGTGGGACGGTGACCCGTCATTAACCCCGAGATGAGCGGAACCACGCAGGGGCGGAGATCCATCAAATGGCCTATCTTGAAAGGAACAGTTGATGGTCATTACAACCTCATATGGCAGAATGAGCTCGCATTACAGATTGAATAAGTTCATACCAGACATAGTTAAAATATTATGTTGTAGTTGGATCCAAATTTCACAAGTTTTAAAGGTAGCAGGAGAAATGGAAAAAAAAAACATTCTCAGCACTAATAATTTAGTGAGCTACATCTAATAATTGTACAGTGATCAATCACAGCAGGGTGACAGTGCCACTCTTCAGGGTTCATGAGTTGAAACCCCTGTTCCCAGAAAAAGTCCAAAAATGATTGAATTCACACTTTTTAATGCTTTATTTATTAATCAATTCTTGAATAAGCCGGACTAACACATGACTCCAAACAAGTTTGACCCCCTTTCTGCGGAAATGACATAGTCCAGAAATGGCTCATCAACAAATCAACTTATACTACTATGTGTTTCTATCAGGCTATTGTTTAAAGATCATAAACATCTCAACGAGGTCTTGTGGCTCAGTATGCCTCGGGAGAGAGGCTGCTGAGCTGCACAGTGGGCAGAGAGGGACAGAGGAGGCAGCCTGAAAAGGAAGCACGACTCGCTTATCGCGTCATTCTGGGTTTAGGCGTTGAGCAGGAAACAGCCTTTCCTCTCGGATTGTCGCAGTAGGAACAAACACACAATTTTGTCTTTACTCAATGCACCCCTCGGCACAGAACACGCGGAAGCCGGTCAGAAGGAAAAATGCCTCCTTCTATAGCGATAGCTGTTCTGCTCCTCGGCGTCCTGGCTTTGGAGACGCGCCGGAGTGCCAGCGCGCTGCACATCCAACAGGCATTCGCGTCTCCAAATCAGACCAATAACTTCGTGGTGGACCCGGTGTCCAGAAAGGTCTACCTGGCCACCGTCAACACAGTCTACCAGCTGAACGGGACCTTGACCGTTGAGGTAGAGAAGAGGACCGGGCCGGTGGAAGACAACCTGTTGTGCCATGCGCCACAGCTGCCCCAGGCTCCGTGCGAGCATCCCAAATCGCTCACTGACAACTACAACAAGCTCCTGAAGCTGGACCGAGAGCAAGGGGTGGTGGTCGTGTGTGGATCCGTGTATCAAGGCTTCTGTGAGCTCCGAAAAATGGAGAATATTTCAGAGATAGCGGTGGAGTTCCCACCTCAGGGTGAGAAGACTGTTTTCCCCAGCATGCTCAATATCGCTGCCAATCACCCGAACGCCTCAACTGTCGGGCTTATCTTCAAGAGCCACGGGGGAAACACCCGGCTTCTTGTCGGGGCGACTTACACAGGGGCGGGCACCCAGTTTTTCCCCAAGAATCACAGCAAGGAGGACCTGCGCTTTGAAAACACCCCAGAGATCGCCATCCGCTCCTTGAACATCAAGGATTTATCCCGACTTTTCACCTATGACATTAACCCTTCAGAGGATAATGTATTCAAGATCAAACAAGAGGTTAAAACCAAAAACAAGCTCAACTTCGTCCACGCTTTCATTCAGAAGACTTACTCCTACATCGCCTTTAATAATGATGCGAAAATGGGCCACAAGGAGAGCCAGCCCAACAGCATCCTCTCCAGGATATGTCTGGATACCGAGAACCCCCGAAAACCCTCCGGACCGGAGAGCAGAAAGCTCACAGAATCCTACATCCAGATGCCTCTACAGTGCGGATTTAACGGGAACATTTACAACCGGCTGCTGTCCGTTTACCCCGCGGAGATCCACACAGAAGACGGGAGGACCTCAGAGCCGTACCTGTTTGGAGTGTTTTCCAAGGGGGACAGAAAGTCTGCTCTGTGCGCTTTCAAGTTTGGAGACATCGAGGAGGAGATCCGACAAGGCCGCAGGAACTGCTCCAACTCTCCCAGCAGCGATGTTCAGGTGCTGGATAGCGTTATCCAGGGCTCCGGGGCAGCCTGCATCCAGAAGGGAAACCTGGTGGTAAGGGCTTATGGATTTCTTTTATTAGCCAACATGAAAAATATTACATTTGATTTGAGTTTGATTTGATTTTATGTGGCCATATAGTGCAAAAGATGTAAATTTCATTAAGGGAATTGGTCTAAAAGACTAATTCAACAGAAAAAAAATGGGAATAAATCTAGTTACTGAAGCAGTTCCACTTGAGCCAAGTTTTCTGTAACGAATGTCAGTGAACAGTAGAATAAGAGACAACATTCACACCAAGTGAACAACAAACTGATTATTAATCACACCAACAGATTGTTGCACTTTATTAAAGAAAAAAAAAAAGCAGGGCAATATTATACTTTTATAATTATGTTTTGATTTCCTATCATGCATTGTTTTGTAAACATTATTGGATTCAAAATGGATATATAGAAATCTGAGCTTTAGTTTAATTTAATCTCTTCCACCTCAAACCAGAGTTTTCCCTGTATGCCTAAACACTACATGGCCGACAAACCTCCATTTGATTCTGAATTATGAAAGCTGTCAGCCCCTTACATTTGTTCTGACCCTACAAATAAGACAGACTCACTCATGAGTGCTGTATCTCTCAGTCAGACAGTTTCCCATTTTTGCTACAACAGTCATCCTCTTTAGCCCTAAGGCTCATGACTTGGAGAGAGGATCTCCCATGTCCTGAGTAGAGGTCATGATAGCTGGAAAGATGCTCCAGAGCCACGCTGGGGGTTATGGGAAGGGTGAGATTACTTTCACATCCAGCAGCTCTCTGTTGTCTCAAATATGAAGAGAGGAAGGTTTTTTTTCAGTTCAGTATTAGGCATGTTTGTTTTTTAATCGAGTGTGTGCTGCTATCTATAACTCAGCCACAAATATAGCACGATGTCAGTGAATAAAGAGCGGCTTTGTCAGAAACACATGGTCAGATATTATCTTGTATTTTCAATACATGCTTTCCACTAGCATACCAAAGTAAATATTTGCCCTTAGGGAAACTTAAGCATTGCACCCTGTATTTGCCCCCTGTGTTTTCCTTCTGTGTTGATGCTGTCTGATAATAAAAGCAGAGAAAGGTTTGCACAGTTTCATAGGAATGCAGTGAAATTCCAGCTTTTCATTGTGGTGGTTTTGACTGACAGAGCCGAGGTCAAAGGAGGCTGTCCCGCGACCGCTGTGCTGTCAGGTCAGAAAGTCACCTTCCTCGCTGGCACTGTCTTGTCGTCTGTGGCCCCAGGGCCACTCCTCCCGTGACCAGTTTTCTGAATACTATCTCAACTGGCCCACAGGCCTCCCTGAGATAGACAATTGCTCAGTTCAAAGTGGTTGCATGTAGGGTTTTCTTGCTCTTGCTGTAATAAACCCTCACAGAATAAAAGTTTGTATTGTCTCAAGTTTTAGATTTGTATTGCCATGGCCACTGAAATGTGATCTTTTTTGTAGTCGACAGTCTGAAGGCCAACACTGAGGGAAAGCCAGACACAATTTATGATAAGAGGGACGAGGCCGCGAGCAGAAGGGCCCGTGGGAAACGACTCTACAAATATCCACTGTGCTTAATTCTTTTTTTTCCTTTCTTTCTTTCTTTTTTTTTTTTTTTGCATTTGCGTGCTCTAAAATATTCAGAGAATTCCCAATAGATCCTGGTATTCATCCAAGCATGGCACTAATGTTTTATCATCGCCCGCTGAGGATTTGACAAAAGCAGAGTCTTATGAGTGTTGAACACCCTTGTAAGCCCTTTTCAATTCACTGAGATGTGATTTAGAAGAATGAGCTGCACCGTTGTGATAGCCACTATCAGCTCTTGTTTTCCACTTTACTTTCATCATAGAGCGCTCTTTTTTTTTTCTCTGTTCTTTCCTGTTTTCTAATCTGTGCTTCCATATGAGAGCTGATGAGCACTGATCTCTCTCTCTCTCTCTCTCTCTCTCTCTCTCTCTCTCTCTCTCTCTCTCTTTCATTTTGTCTGTATTCTAGTTGCAGCCTGAGCAGCTGGACTGCGGCGCGGCCCACCTACAGCACCCTCTTGCCCTACGGAGGCCCCTGAGGGCCATTCCACTGGTTGAATACTCGGGTCTCAGCTCAGTCTCTGTGGACTATGTACACAACCACACTGTGGTTTTTCTGGGAACCAGTAATGGACGACTTCGTAAGGTGAGACATATATGACCACCAGCATACACACGCACACAAAGCTTTCTAAACTAACATAACCTCAGGTCAAAACACAGTTGCAGCAGATAATCATCACCACAGAATGGACTTAATATTTTTAATGTGATGGAGCCCCTCGAGCTTGGAAAAACTATAACAGTAACAGTTACGTTGTGCCGCTCTGATGTGGCTGCCGAGTCTTTCAATAAACCAAACTTAGGTGTGTGATGAAACACACGAAACAAGAAGGAATGCCTGCTTTCATCTCGTATAAGTTCTCAGTCACCCCTCAACCTCCCTTGCTCCATTCATCCATGACCCATCATGGCCCATTAAGTAGTCCTAATCATGTGCTCTAATGTTCCTCAGACCTGGTTATTGTCTGAGAGATCACCAGAAAGCCGTTTAACAAGATCGGCTGACGACGCATGACTCAGTCCTGCCTTGTGGCCGTCAGCTTCAGAACATCTGCAGAGGGTCCAGCTTGTGAAAACCCTTTCCCGTCTAATTAACAGCATTCCTTAATTCTGTCTCAGCCACATTCCCAGTCGCCCCTGACTGAGCTCACTGAGCAGCAGCCTGCCTTTCGAGAGCCACAAGCTGCTTCTCAGCTGTCTGCGGAAACAGCATAACCTGACTCTGAAAGCTTTCTGACCCTATTGTTTTTGCATTAGGCTGGTACCTTTTACAACATTAAAACCATTCTGCTCGAGGGGTGTTTTGTTTTGGGCCCAGTAAAAAAGCTCCTTGTTTCCCTCCCCAGATGAAGGTACTGTTTTAGCCCCGGCTGAGCATGCAGTAATTGGTTTTTGGATGGTTTATACCGGATGCACAAAAGTGGTTGGGATGGTGTAAGCAACTGCATATATGAGTGTGTTTGTGTATGTCTGTTTGCTTGATTGCAGGTTTGGCTTTGTTTTTTAGGTGTTTGACTTTGTCTGTAGGCCAGTGTGAGTGGTTTAGTGATTTCATGTGTTTACTCAGAAGAATGCATACCCTGTGATTATGTGCTATATGTGTGTTCTCTCTCAACCTTGTTATATAGGGAGCACAGTATTTCTGTGACCTTGGGCGACAACATATGCCATGCTTTTTAGCTTTACGTGTCTTTTATTGTTTGTGTATGTATCTGTGTGTGTGGCAGGGTCTGTCTGTCAGTGTGTGTGTGCCCTGAGGATAGAGCTGTTACAGAGGTTAATGGTGCTGTTAGTGTGTGTAATGTGATTCTGACTGTGAGTTTGGCTCAGGCTAAACACAGGGGAACAGTGGTTGAGATTAAGTTAGGCCTCTTTTACTGTCTTTGAGAGAGCCCTCAGTGAAGTAATTTGTAATTACATGCATTTTTTAATGAAGTCTCTCCCTCCCCATTACAGCTGACTTCCATTTTCTGCCTCTCGCAGTGTCCGCCTTTATCTCACTCACTCTCGTCCAATTTTACTCCCTCAGTCAGTCCACCCCTCCACTTCTCAGTTCATCGCTTCATTGTCTCCTCTCTCTGTTCTTCTCGTACTCCATCTCAAATATAAAAGGCCCTTTGATTCATTTTGCAAACAAACAGACTTTATCTCCCTCTATTCTCTTTCTTGTTTTGTCTCTCCTGCCCCACCTCCATCTGTCTTTATTCTCTCTTTTTTACACACAGGTACACGCACACACATACACACAGAGAATGAGCGCACAGCAGCTGAGCACTCCCTTAGTTGAATGGGGTCTTTCATCTGCAGGCAGATAGACAGAGAATGGAGTCACAGCGACCTGCCAGTACAGCAGGTGTTTTGTTGGTTGACCTGGTGGCGCACTGTGCCACAGCTCTCCTCACTTCTCCTTCACCCTGCTCCTACTCTGCTCCCTGTCCAGGTGTGTGGGCTACTGTTTACTCGCTCCTCACTGTGTCACTCTGTGTATGTGTTTGCAGTCGCTGGGGTGTGAGGTGAAGACATAGCACAGCTGCTTACTATCTCCAAGGCAGAAGATGTGTGTGTGTGTGTGTGTGTGTGTGTGTGTGTGTGTGCGCGTGTGTAGATGAGTGGGTGGTGTTATAAAAAAGACAGCGATATTTGCAGGTTGAGATAATGTCTCTCTTCACAGGTTAAGCCAATGGTTTACTAAGCTCCTGTCTGCTCTGGTTTAACATTAACCAGCGCGTCTCAGTGGGTGGTGATGGTTTTGTATGTTTGTCTGTGTGTGTGTATGTGTGTTTGTGTGTTCAGCGGATGGAGAAGTGAGACAGCCCGTGCTTGTCACCAGATGCTGGTCAGTTTGGCAGTTCCTCAGGATGGCAGGATGTCTCCATTGATGGGAGACTCGACAAATCGCAGAAATAAGAGCTTTCACTGTCTGCGTGACAGGAAGTCTCACTCAGCACAGTTTGTTTTTCTACATATCTGTGTGTGTGTGTGTGTGTGTGTGTGTGTGTGTGTGTGTGTGTGCAAACGTGAAAACATGTCTACCGTTTTATTATCTTGAGCTGCAGGAAAGCCAGTGTGTAGATAAAAATTAATGCTCGGCCAAGCAAGATTAGGCACACTGCTTGAACAAATTTGAGGAGGGTTGAACATATACAAGTATTTTGAAATAAAGATTTGTGTTTAAAAGAGTACATTCAACTAAATCTGACTATTATTAATACATACATTCAATACATAAACTACTTTTTGGGGTCTGCCTTGTGTATCTCAGTCAGGTTCAGAAGAGTTGAAGTTGAAGTCAATATAAAAGAATGTATTTATCTCGCTTAAACACCTTAGTGCTAGGTAGCAGTTGCCTCAAAGTTACAGGAGTGATCATGATGTGGATTGCTGGTGAGAATTCCCTCCCAATTATGTGGGGAGGAAGTGAATAAAAAAGAAACTGCTTCTGCTGAGGTGTTGCTGAGCAAAACACCTGTCCCTGAATTAACTGAGCTGCTCGATGGAGCGCCTTGGTATCCGAGTGGTTACAGTGCATGCCACATAACCACAATGTCGCCGGTTCAAGCTGGCGACCTTTGTTGCATGCTCTAACTGTGCCTTCCTGCCTACCTTCATCACTGTCACTCTCCACTAAAGGTGAAAATGCCATGTCTAAAGAAAACTCATCTGTTTGATAAACAGAAAACAACTGTGGTTATGTTCCCAAATTTGTTATTTTGTATGAACGTGAAGCAAGATTTTGCTCAGTTGACTTTTCCTAGCTGAATTAACCTTAAAAAAAAAAAAAAATACCACCATTCTGCACCTGCTCCAACGCTGTAATCCAACCTGTGTCCTCTGCTCTGATGTCTTTTTCACAGCTGACCCTCTTGGCGAACATGACCTTGGCCAATCAGTGGACACTGAAGCTGCCAGCCAGCGAAGCGGTCCACCACATCATGACCTTCGACCCCAGCGACAGCAACTTCCTTTATCTCATGACCTCTCACCATGTAAGAATGTGGCTGCAGGCACTGGCTCCAGTCTCAAGACATCTGTTGATGCTCCTCACCTCTGTCACTGATTTATTCATGTCAGCATGGAGAAGAATCGTAATACCAACAATCAGACCTCTTTTCACATCCAGTGAATCTTCCCCACCTCAGTTTAGCTGAACCCACACACATTTGTGGCAACTTGTACAGACCTACAATAGGGTTTTGCACTACATTTCCAAACAAATGGGTTTCATAACAGTTGTGCTTATGACAGGATGTGGTTGCACCTCCAGCACTTCTGTTGCGCAATGAAAATGCAGTGATTGCACTTTGATTATTTTTGTATTTGTCATCAGCTAAAACTACTCCTACGGGCACCAAGTGGAGGTTGGTGTGTAAACACATAATAAATGAAAATAAAATATGTCTCCATACTAAAAGAAGTTATAACTGTTGACAGATACTATGCTTAGGGACAGTACTTAAATGTCCTTGAATCTGCTTACAACTACAGTATAGTGAGCTATAAAGCATTTATTACATGTTTATATGTGGCTTATAAATGCATTAATCAATTATCAAAATTGTTGTTGAGTAATTTTCTGTTGATTGTTTCAGCACTAGTTCTCTGTTAAAAGCCTGCACAAATCTTGAAAAAATCTGTCGTTTTCACCTGATGTACCCTTTTTTTAAGTGTGTTTTATGTCTGTGCTGTTATGTGCAGATGCTCAGGGTGAAAGTGGCAGAATGTGACCAGTGGAGGAGCTGCAGTGAGTGTTTGGGAGCAGGCGATGCCCACTGTGGCTGGTGTACTCTGGAGAATCGGTAAGAAACACACAGTTTGTTTTTGTGTCTCTGTCTGTTGGTTCTCCATCCATCAAGTTAACTGTCCTCAGACTTGTTCTCTGTCCCTCTCAGCCTTCTCTTCTGCTGCCAACAAAACATATAATTCAATCAAATTATCATATGCTTTGGTGTCACGCACATGCTTTCTTTTTCTCCGTTGAGAAAATGTGGAAATGTCAACTGTCTTTGCTGTCTGCGTTTAAGCAGCGATTCAGCTGCAATTGTTTATATGACTGATTGATTTAAGTTAATGTTCATTTCCAAGCAATAAAAGATCAGATTGATGGCATAATAAAATGATTTGAGCTTGTCGTTCTGATACTTTTAGTGTTTAGTAAATCAATAAAAACCACTGACACTCGTTGCAGGTTTTCATCATCCTCATTCTCAATTTCAAAATGTCGCGCGGATGAATGAGTCTTGGCAGTAACAGAGTGTGTTTTGGGGTTGGCAGGCTGTTTTTGTATCGAGCAGAATTGATTTGCTTTTCATTAGGCCTCAGACTGGGGAGCAACATCATTGTTCGGAGCAGTCCCCTGGTTCTTCGGTAGTTTTGGGAGAGAATGACAGGCTGGGAGCGCCCAGCGAGGAGTGACTTGGCTGAAGTGTTACTGTGAGCGAGCGAGAGTACACTGTGATTAATGTGGCTCTGTCAGGACTGGCTCTCTGGCTCTGTGCTCACTGGCTTTCAGGGAGAATATGTGTGGTGTCGAGCTGTGTTTATTTGTGTGTCTGTGTGTGTGTGTGTGTGTGTGTGTGTGTGTGTGTCAGTTGGTTGCTTGGTGATTAAAGCAGATCAGACGAGATAGTGAATTTTGTGATGAGTTGCGCTGCATCTCTGGGAGGCTCTGGCATTGCCAGGGGCCATTCAGAGCTGGAAGAGTGGAACTGATGAGAGTTGTGTGTTTGTGTGTCTATGTGTGCGTGTGTATGTGTGGTCAGACTGTCTCGCTGTCATCTCCCTGTCTCCTCTACTTATTTATCTATCTGTCGTCTCTTTATCCCAGTCCCTTTCTCGCTTCACTGAATTTTTTTTACCCTCGTGATTCTCTCTCTCTCTCTCTTCAGCTTCCTTGCTTTTTTTCCATCCTTGCCCTCCTATTTTCCAGTAGCTTTGAGAATTTACCCATCCCTCCCTCAACCTCCCTCTCTGTCTTACTAGTCCTGGTCTCCTCCTCCCCCAGTGCCCTTGTCCTCCTCTCTATCCCTCTACAAAGGAGCGTTGATTGTGATGATGGTGGTGGGAGGGAGAGTGCACACTGGCTCTTTTGACAAGGAAATGTCAAAGTGTGTAAGCCTGTGTGTAAGTGTCAGCGGGAGTGTGTGTCGCTGTCTGGCTCTCAGAGGCCAGGGAGCTGATGTCATGAGTGTGTGTGTGTGTGTGTGTGTGTGTGTGTGTGTGTGTGTGTGTGTGTGTGTGTGTGTTGATGCACTGTTTGGCCAGTCATGCCAGCCGCTGGGCTGGCACTGTGGCCTCAGAGCCCAGGGGATCAGGGGGTTGATGTGTGGGGGTGGATGGTCTCCTCCATCACCTCGCTGTCTGATAAAACTACAGTCACTGAGTAGAGAGTGAAAAAAGGACCACTAGAGAACTATCTCACAATCTGTGAAGCCACCACTGTCTCTGTGGGTGTCTATGTGATTTTATGCATGGCTCTGACGTCTCTCAGCACGGCTGAATATAAAGTAAGCATGAAAACATGTCTGTTCGCTTGTTGGAATCAGCATTGTTAAGGAAGAGAGAGCTAGTTTCTCTGCCAGAGATAAAGCTTAGTCCTTGATCACTCTTTTCATGTTGGAGTTGGTTTAATCTGCCACATGTCACAAGAAAGCACTTAAATATCTTTATTTGAATCAAATTATGCGTCATGTGCCGTCTTTGCTATTCACAAATTATCACGCTTATCTGCATGTGCTTGTCTCACAGTGACTTTGTGTGTGTGTGTGTCTGTGTGTGCAGTTAGTGCATCTCATATGTTCTCCTGCTGTTCAGCAGTCTCACTGGTTTCCCACCTTATCTGACATACAGACACTTAAGAGGTGATGAGTTTTCTCAGGTCATATTTTAGCTGCAGATGTTGACTCTGTTTATTTTAAGGAGCTGTTTGAAAAGCTTTTATAGTCAGCATGCTGTCGCGAGGCAGGTGAGGGGTACATGGTGAATTGAGTATGTTTGTGTGTGTCTACTGTATGTTTATTGTATGAATATTAGTTGTTCCAGCACTTTAGAGAAGAGAGAAGCTTTGAATGTATTTGTCCTCACTGCTGCACTTGACCAAATTGTTGTTTGAATTAGCAGGCAAGTCATGAATACATTTTAAAAAGGAATAGAAAAAAAAGAGAAAGGAATTAGATATCATGATGTGAGTACAAGTCTTACCAGCATTCGCAGGCTGTTTGTTGATGTTCATCTGAGACTGCATGTCTTTTTCTTTTGAGATTGTCAGACGAAGTTTCCTGGATGTCTCCTTCAGTTTATACCAAGTGACATCTATGAAGTATTCAGTAGTTCAAGATAAAATCTGGAGTTTACTTGATAATCTAAATATATTCTTCTAGATGGAAAACAAGGAGGCCGCTTTTCACCAGTTGTAACCCAAGAGGGAGTTATGATTCACTCCATGATTTCAAAATCCATGGTTAGTCATCACAAACGTTTGTAATTATAATCTTAAAGACAGGGCTGAGTGAAATATCAGAATATATCAGAGTATCAGAAACAGTCAAGTATCAAAATTAGCATTAAATTCTTTGTCAGGTCTTGTTTACATACTCTTTGGTCAAATATGTCCGGATTTTAGACATGAAGACATCGATTTATACGATTTTATTTCAGCAAAGTTCTTGTTTGAGAAGTTTGGTATGTTTAGTTAAATAAACCAAAAGGGAAACAAGATTAAAGAACAAAATTCAGACTGAAGAGTTTACAGCCACACTAGCAGCTTAGTGAGGCTGTAGTCAGCCACAGCTAAATGCCAGCAAGCTAACATTCTCATAATTAGGAGCTTACATGTTTGGCAGGTAAATCATTTTTACCATGTTCATCATCTGAGGATAGTGAGAATTTTATTAGTTTTGCAGTTATTTGGCCATAAAACCAACTGTTGGACAGATTAATACATTTGATCTGATGTGTATTTATAGTCCTTACAGTAAGGTACGGTAATAAAAGTTAAATACAAGGATAATTTTGCTTTCTGTGCTGAAACTCAGGTATCTTACTGACAGCAGTATGAAAAGATTTCAGCAATATCCAGCCGTACTCAAAGAACGACCTTCAGAATGAAAATTAAGTCGTACATTTCCAGTGTATTACACTATTTATCTGTAAATCCATTTTAGTGTGACTGTTGAGTTTGCTGAGTGTGTTCAGAGTTTATGAGTTTGTTTGTGTCTAGGGGATTTTTGTGTGGCTTGCAGAGCCACTCAGTTCTATTTTTAGTTAAGCAGCTGACCTCACAGCCCCTCTCAGTCCCTCAGTGCCAATGGGACTGAGAATCTGGACATTCACTTTCCGGAAACAAATACTCACACTTATAGGCATGCAGGCAAACAGACACACACTTTATTTTCAAACAACTATAGAAGGGTGAGAGGGAAGTGGGATGTGCCAAACTCATTATGTGGCATGTAAGGGCGTTGCTAAATGGGGCCTCTTTGGTTTCTTCTTACTCTGAGGTCACTTTGTCCTTCCAGTCTGCACTGCAGATGAACTGAGCTCTGTGCCAACGGCCAGTGAAGTTCATTAGTGAAGCAGAAGTCAGAATGTGAGGCCACCTTGCTTGTTGAATGCCCTCTTACAATTCCTCTGTCCTAGACATTCATTATACTCACAGATGGGCACATGCACACTATATGTTCTATGCATGTCTGCACAAAGACACATGTTAATGGATGCACTGTTGGTCCGCACAGATTAAGAATGAGTAGTATTTTTATTAAACTATCTGTAACTGCCCCCTGATCTTAGCGCCAATGGCATGGGTTGCCATAGCAATGTGTGTGACCTAGAGTCAAGTAGTCTCTTGTGTTGAGCCAGACAAACTGACAGCCGAGGTCTGAATGTGGCATTACGAGACCAGAGCACCTCATAAATCTGTGGGAAGCAGACCATGAAACCCAACGGTGAGAATTCGTCAAGTCCTGGAATGAAATGGAAACACAAAAGTTTGTGCCCTCCTCTCACAGGATATAATTTTGACCCTAAAGCTCTGCATTCGTGCACCAGTCTGGTTGTCCAATTACTCTTTTCTGTGCGGGCTACTAAGAAAACATGTTCATGAATTTCTGGAATTCAGTTCCTTTTTTTTTTCACGTCATAAATATTCCATGTCATGTTCAGCATTGGAAATCTCTGACTCATTGTGCTGTAATCTAATCTGCACCAAAATATGATAAATATGATCACTGAACCAACATTCCTGTCTGTCACTTCATCCAGATGTACCATCCAGAAGGAGTGTTCTCAGGGGCATTTGGCACGCTCCTGGATCAGCATGGGTGAAGGCCCGCAGCAGTGTCCGTCCATGACCCTGACACCCCCAGAGATCAGCATTTCTGCAGACATCAAGGTATCACCAACTCGCTCCATATTATTGTCTTCCATCGCATCCATTTCGCAAGTAAAAATAGACATTACTGTTCTTCATCAAGGTATGTTTGTTATGGGGGTAGTGTATTTAAAGCTGATGAAACAAGGTTGTGACTTCGGCTTTACCGCATGACCACCTTTATAAGCTGACACCTCTCAGTATTATTATGCACACTATTATTATTACTCTGCTGATATTCTCATGCCGACACTGTATGCTGCAGCAGCTCACTTCACCAACCCAACCTCCCCTTTACAGTGTTTAGTAAAGTTTACTTTGCTAAAATCTGATGTTAAAGAGGCTACAATCGATATTTATTATAATAACAATGTATCAAATGACAATGTGAAAAACAACGTGTTTGCTTATAAGTTCACCATATCAACTTAGAACGTCACGTCAACGTTGTGTCCACAAAAAAACAATTATTGCAGGATTCATTTTTAAGTATTTATGAGGAGTGAAACGCTGTATGCTAGCTCCTTATTCACAGTGGGTCTCCAGTTAGAGAGATTGACACACAAGCAGTGTGCATCTTGATGCATTGTATTATGAGTAAGTTGTATGGTATCTGGACTAGTAATTACAATGGTAAGCAACCTTTTTATCTAAATCTAACTATACAACCATTGACTTTAACCGATCAATTCGTTGATGTACAGTAGTGTCTCTGGCTGAAATAAATTAAGTGGCCTGATGGGCTGCTATATTGACATCTGTTGCTGTATAAATCAATTCTACATAATAATTCTACTTGAGTTTTGAGCATGTCTGAAAAAGCAATAGAAGTATGTGCAAAATGTCACTCTGCATACCAAATGTGCTTGATTTTTGAGGGTGCTATTGATGAACACTATTGTTGCACTATTCCGAACTAAAATGGAGGACCTTCTCACACCTGAAAAAAACATTACAGGAAATTCGTGACTGCGGAAAGACAGCTTCTAGAGTTGGTGTGAAATTTTAAAAAAAGCGCGTTGTCTTTTTTAGATTTAATTTGCAGTGGTTTTCCAAAGTGGCAGTTTAAGTGGCATCTGTTGGCACTGATCTTCTGTCATTAAAATGTTAAAGTACTGTAGTTTGTAGTAATTCAAACTGCAGAAATCGTATACTATGAAGAATATATACTGTATTTCTCCCACATTTGCAGTGAAAAAGTGATTTTTTATCATTTTTCAGATTTATACTAACAATATCATATTATTAAGAACGTAAACTAAGTGATTCCAATCCAATTTAAACAGGTTTAGACCAAAAAAAGGCACAAGGGCTCCCCTGCCACACGCAAAATTAATGTTAAAATAGGATAAGCTCCACCATAGCTTCTTGACTTCGATGATAAGCATCACCTATCAAAATCTGTCACCTTATACACTTCACATACACCTTGTGTTGTATGGATTTGGGACGCAGAGAAACTGTCAAATATTGAGTGCTACATAACACCACCTGTCTGATTTTAATCAAAGATGGCAGGACAAGATATTCTGGCAAAAAGAGTGCCTGCATCATACTTGGGGTGTGACATGTAAACTGTTGTTTTCAGTGATTTCTTCCAGTCAGTATATCATGTAACAGAAGCAAAATAGCAATATGATAATTAGCTCCCTGGATTTTGACACTTGGAATGTATTTGACCTTTAATTACAGCTCATAATTAGACGAGGCTGAGAGACGACAGGTCATTAATTGGTTCATTAATTGTGGATATTTGCTTGTTATGTAGGTCAGTTTGGCTGGGATGTAATAGATCTACCAGCTGCCCGATTCACAGGCATCCTTTCAGAGACACAGGAAGCTCAGCTCAAGGTTGTCTCTCTAAACAGGAAGCAGCAGGCAGGAAGTCAGGGCCTCAGCCAGGAAATGATCAATTCCACCGAACAATGGAGTGGATTTTTAAGACATGTTAGCGCATGTCGCTGGCCACTTCTGCTTATATCTGCTGAGCCATTCAATATGTCATCTTGCTCTTCCTCTCTGCTTAACAATTTGTGCCTGCTTACTCCCCCTGTGATTTTTTCCTCACATTGAAATCATTAAGATGAAATTCAGTCATGTCAGTGAGGTGTTATGTTTCTCATTATACGTCTGTCATACTTCATCATGTAGCCAGATATAGATGTGAATGTAGCACTGTGCCATCTGTTTCTTCATTGCACATTAACTTCTTAATTTCTCTGCCTGAACTCCTGAACAAGTAATGAGGTAATGCCAGTAATGCCACTGCCATTTGCCCCCTAATGATAAACTGTACAAGCTACTTGATTTGAATATGTATATGTGTGTGGGAATATGTTATTAATTTCTTTTAAGATGAGTAGTTATTTATATATGCCCCTATATCTGCTCCTGTTCTAGGATGTCGGCATTCTGATAAATGGCAGTGTTCCTGATCTGGTCGGCTCTCGGGTGGAATGCGAATATGGGCCGGGTGTTTCTACAGCTGCCACAGTGCACCTGGACTACGGTACCGCTCAGATCCAGACCTGTCCCTTGCTCCCTCGAGAAAACTACCAACCAATCCTCCCTGGAACAGGTGAGACTGAGCACAAGCATCCATTTGGCTGTGCGCCAATGCTGCAAGCCATATCTCTCTACACAATAGTACAGTTACAGTACATGATTCATTTTTTCAATTTTTTTTCTTCAGACCACGTTGAGCTGTATTAGAACAAATGTTATTTCCCCTTTAATCTTTCAAAATGCAGCAAAGTCGGTCTAGCATGAGCATGTCTCGCTGTCTAGTTTGTGTTATGACAGTGATACCATCTCGAATGCTTGACACATGCGGCATTGTTTACATGCCTTTGTTTCTCCAGATCATCTGACTGTTTCTGTGGCGATAAAAGTGAATGGCACATCTGTGGTATCTGGGAGCTTCATCATCTATGACTGCGAGAGGACTGGAGCAATACACCCCAAGACATCGTGAGTCACACATCCATTGTCCCCGCTGTTTATCTCAAATTCTGGATTTATTTGGGTGTTGGTGATGCTTGGCCAACTTACAGCATCGTTCTGATCCCTTTAATCCTAATTCATTCACTTAGACGCAGTAGTGGAAAGTAGCTAATTTGTTCAAGTGCTACAGTTTTGAGGTACTTTTCAGATAAAAGAGGTCAAATTGTCCAATATTTAACCAAAAAAGCAAATATTGGAGAAAAGTCCATAACATTAATAAAATTTTCTCCAGCACAAGTTTCTTTTTTCTTCTTGCCTACCAAATGAATTATCTCATGATCCTCCAGGTTTTTCTTGTGACGCTTTGGAGGGGCCTGACCCCTAGGTTGGAAACTGCTGGACTCAACTACCTGAGCGTATAAACAAGTAGTTAAAAGTAGCTTTACCTCAAGCAGCTAAAACAGTAAAAACATAATGATCCTTTAGTATTAAACACATGATAATGTTATGTCCAATTATATATTGGTCACAGAGGTCATTTTACCTCAGAATGTTTACTTTTTACTTTTTATGCTTTAAGTACTTACTACTTAAGTACTTTTAAAGCAAGATTTTGAATGCATGACTTTAGAGAGTATTTTTAAATTGTTTAATTTGTACTTTTACTTAAGTACCAGATCTGAGGACGTCTTCCATCACTGCTTAGATCTTTAACCACTGGCTACTAGTTTTGCAGATCCTTCAAAACCAACTATCCTAAATGAGACCTAAATGTAAACTACGATTCTAGCTATCCCTAACAAGCTATAGCATCACTCAAATGTCAGCTTTAGTCTCTATAGTATTGCAGATGTGCACATATAGCTGGAGGCTGAATGAACAGCGAAGCTTCTCTGCCTCGAGGACCTTTGTCCCTAACCTCTTGCTCTAGTGTTTATTCCCCTGCTTTCTATTTAGGTCTCAGTGGGTAAATATTGCCAACACGTCCTCTTGCAGGGCTTATTGTGTATTTGGCTTACTCAAGGTTTCTCAGTGCAGGATCAAATGTGGTATTAATATGCTGTAAACGTTAAGCCAAAGGAAATTGGATATGTATGTCTGGCTGGTCATGTTGATGTTTGTTTTTGTGAAGGACTGCGACTTGTATGGCCTGGTCTCAAAGGGTTCTCTCATATCTGGAGGCAATCCAGCTGGCTTCCTCTTGCATGTTGGACCATGTCAGAGGATCCACTTTATCTGATGGGCAGATCTTAGGCTTAGAGGGGCATTAGTGTGAGTGCGTGTGTGCGTGTGTGTGTGTGTGTGTGTGTTTGACTGATTCCCTAAGATTGAAATCGTTTGGGTGTGTCCCTTTTGTTCACTTTTTGAAAACAGCCTGTAGGTGTGAAAACAGCAGTTGCAGGTACATGTGTGCAAGACTGCACCCAATATGTGCACATGGCCTCGGTGCTCGGCGAGGTCCAGGAGTGTGAAATTAGACGGTGGTTTGTTGAAGGTGATAATGAGCAAAGTGCCATTCTCACAGGATGAGCATTGGGCTGCAAACTGCAGAGCTGCTATACTCTATCTGATTTTAATCACTTCAAGCTGTTTTTTTTTTATAATCCCTAAAGAGAGTCTTATGAGCCACTTCTCCTCAGTGAAACTAGATGGTAGAGACTCTTTGTTTTGTGCTTCTTCACTCAGATTTCAGATCTTAAACTTTCTTGGGTGTGGGTTTGTTTTATGTCATCTACATGAGTGTTATTAGATAATGATGTCTGTATAAATCATCAGTGTCACATTAACAGTACAAAGGGTTGTACAATAAACCACATATTAGGACCGTGACTAACGAATATGTTAATTATTTGAATAATCATTTCATCATTGCGCTATAAAATGTTAGAGAATGGTAAAAAAAAACTAAATAAATAAAGAAGTGTCGTTCCATTGCAACAGTCCAAAACCTAAATAAACCCAATTTTCTATGACATAATAGTAAATAGTAAAACCAAAAAATCCTCACTACTAAGAAGCTGTAATTTGGATATATTAGACATTTTTACAGTAGGTTGAGAAATAACAAACAATTAATTATCAAAAAAGTGGCAGATTAATTTTCACTCAATTAATTAATTGATTAATTGACTAACAGTTTCAGTTCCACCAAGTTTAATGAGTTGTTTACAATCTGAATATCTTTTCCAAGATAGATTTACTAATCTGCACTTCTTAGTTAATAAATAAATTGTCTGAGGCCCATGTAATTAAATGGAGAACAGTTGCAACAACCAATGACAGAACTTAACCAACAAGAAGCTTAACCAACCAAGTAACACAGTTCAGTCCATAAACGTTAAAGGGCATCCATTCATTGTCACAAAGATACTCAGTCTGAGAAAATAGTTGCATGATGTCATCTGTAGCTCTGAGGAGAGCATTTTAAAGTCGGATGATGTCATAGCGATGTCATCCGGTTTATCTCAAATAAAGCTTGAGAAATATTTTACGGAAAACCTGTGTTGAAAGACTTTACCAGGATAAAGAACGATGCTATTAAGTTGTATTATGGGAAATTCAGGTTCCAGCGTTTTGGAGCTTGACTCATACTAGGGACTAGAATTCAGAATATTTTAGTCTCTACTTATTCAATTTTGACCATTATTTTTATTTTTCTCTTATGAGACCACCAAAATAACAAAAGTGCGAAGGTAAATAGTTGGAATACTCTTTCAACTAGTCTTACTGTAATAAATCTGGACAAACATATTAGAAATGAGCCAACATTAAGGAGGAATTATTATTCATTTAGTTGGTAAAAAGAAATAAATTGCTACATTTATTATCATCAAGGTAAATGTGGCAAAATATTGCACTTTATTTTTGTTTGAAGTTTGAAAAATACCTCAGAACATAGAGGAAATCATCATGATGTGACAGTCGGGTACTGATTTTGAGTGTTTTTTAAAGACTCACTGTGTGACTGTGTTTGTGTGTCTGTGTGTGTGAGAGAGAGTGTTTAGACAGTTCTCCCATGACCCATTCAAAGTGGTCACTAGGCAGAGTGTTAATGACAACCAGACGATAGCATTCCAGTCTCACCAAACAGCCCAGTAGGACAACCACCTGACCTGCCCTCTTACTCTGTTTCTCTCACTCTCTTTATGTCTCTCAGCCACACACACACACACACACACACACACACACACACACACACATACATACATACACATGCTCATACTCTTTCTCTGTTTTATTTGCTTTTTATGTCTCTGCTTACGTCTCAAGTTTTGGCCCTTCTTTTTTTTTTCCCTTCTCCTTGTCTATCTCTGTTCTTCTCTGTGGCTCCTCCCTCCTGAAACTGGTCTTTTCTCCTGGACGTATTTCTCTTTGACAGAGACGTGATTGAGGATGTGTGTTTAACCGCTGAGTCCACTGAGAGGCCCTGAGAGTGCGAGCCTGACTGTGTATTTAGTGTGTGTGTGTGTGTGTGTGTGTGTGTGTGTGTGTGTGTGTGTGTGTGTGTGTGTGTGTGTGCTGTGTGCATGCATGTAATTATGACTCGGGGTTGGCAGTGTCACAGGGTATTTACTGTCAGTATTAGGTCAAGCAGAGAGAGAGAATGTGTGCACAATCTGTGTGTGTGTGTGTGTGTGTGTGTGTGTGTGTGTGTGTGTGTGTGTGTGTGTGTGTGTGTGGCAGTGTATAGGTGTTTTAGTAGGACAAAAAGGGAAAACAGAAAAGCTGCAGCTGATAAGAGCCTTGAGGGGGCCGTCTGCTTCTAATCACAACACAACACACACACACACACACACACACGTTTCGATTACGTTTCTGCATCCCCTTACACCCATCCCGCTCCCCCCAGTCTAGAGACCCCCCTCAGAGTGCTGCTATCACTGGAGGCGCTATCATTCCTAGTGTGGGACATCTGTCTCTTCCCAGAGGCAATACAGTGACATACACTCGACTCACACAAATACTGTACAGTGGAGATGTTCCACTTAAGGTAGTTTATCTGGAAGACACACATGTTTGTACTCCATCCACAGAAAAGAAACACAGTACAATACATATCCCCAAACTCAACCCTTAATCTTCTCAACTACACGTCTAGCCTCAATTCATAGCCTCATTTTAAAGGGTAGATCACCCAAATCACAACAAAGGATGGTGGCATAAATCTCAGATATTAATATCTCAAAAGGAACACTGTGTCGCTAGGTACCTTCACAGGGTGAACCAACCATCTAACCTAAACTTAATTCTAACCTTAAAATGAGACAAAATAACCTTGAATAACCTGAATAGCTGTCACTGTGTCATTAATGAGATAATGGTAAATGTAGCAGTAGCAGAAGCTGACATAAAGTGAGCAATCTTGCTCAGGAATGTCAGCTACAGAAATATCTATCTAAAGTTTGCAATTTGCAACCATATGCTTCTTGTCATACCAGACCAAGTGAGGCTGTAAGTAGCAAAACCTTTAAGTTTATTGAATTGAGTTATTAATTATTGTACACGAAGAAGAATGAAAAATGTACATAGAGTTGTTTCCTTTCCTGTTTAAAGGATAAGGCTGGCGATATTAGTATAAAAAGACTAAAACAACGTGTTAGTCCATCTCTCAATACTTTCCGACTTCACTACGGTGTCTGTGGCTCTCAGCTCCAATCCCATTTGTTCCTACTGAATGTAAATATTTAAAAACTGGTCATGAATGTATAGCTTCATTTTTTTAAAAGGGTAATAGTGCATTTGTTGGGGACTATTTTCAGGTGCAGATTAGTTGAAGTAGAAACTATTAACAGCATATGCGGGTCAGACTCAAAATAATCTACATTTCCTGTGTTCGTTATAATGAAAGATTATAAAACATAATGCGCTCAACTAACAATTAGATCTAGAAGACTGTGTGCTGGATCCTTAAAGTAGTTAATAATAATCATTTAAAAAAACATCAGTGTTTCAATATTAAAATGTCAAATTGGAGTGCCATCCTAATGAAGGAACATGTCGCCTAGTACAACAGTCTGACACTGATGTGTTTAAAGGGCTTTGACCAACAATGAGGCACAGAAGAATAAACTATATCAGGCTCTGGATACACAGAAAATTACATCTTTGTTTGTTTTGGTCTTCTTCTTGGAATTCATTTATAATTACAATAATATAGAATATCACCAGACTTATCCTTTAAACTTAAGGCCCAGTTCTAACCATAAAACATTGGAGCTAAGGACTGATCACAAACACAGACATCTGTAGCTTAGACTCACCACAAGTCACTTCCAATAACAGTTTCTAAAGGCTGCATGTCTTTAACCTATATGTGGGCGTTTCTTTGACAAACAAGCATGAATTGCATAAAGTTTACAAGCTGCTGACAGACTTACTTGCCAAAATGCCCTCACTTAGTTGGTATAAAACCTCAAAATGGTAGCTAGAAATACAGACAGTGCTCACACACACATCATCATTTACCATTCTGGGTGTTTACAGAGAAGTGCTTTGTTTCATCTTAGCAGATTTGGCTCAGTTTGACCCCCTGGCTTACTGTGTTGTAACTGTGGAATGAATGCGTCCACTAATGTGACTAATCATTACTTCCTTTTATTAAAGATAAACTTTGATGCCTGTAATCAGTCCAGCGTCATTGTTTATGTTACACTCGAATGAATCAGAGGGAGACACATACTCAACTTTTCAAAAGACTGTATTTACAGCATGGGAACAGAGAACAAGCCCGATCTGTCTAAATGTGATCCTTGTTTTTCAACTCTTTCCATGTATGTGTGTCCATCTATAACAGATGTGTGAGCTGCCTGAGCACCAGGTGGAAGTGTTACTGGGACCAAGAGAACCACTTATGTGTCTCCAATAAAGATGAGTCAAAGCACAACCTGCTAGAGGTGAGTAATTCTTTCTGCTTTTAATCCATCACCCAAACAGACCCCTGGAGGATCTCCTAATATTAAGATCCCACTAGTCAGAGCCTCAGACATAATCCAGACTCTTGTCCAACAACTCCAAGTGTGCTGTAATGATCTGAGTCCAGACGGCTTATGCAAGAGCAATCATGTGGTAGGTCGGTATGAGGTTTCAAGTGTCTCAACTACAGTATGTAGAAATGTTGAAACCTGCTATAAAATCTCAGGAGGTTCTTATAATGTACCATTTAAAGCTTCTCAGACCTCCTCTAAAGTTTCTCTTCTTGGCAGTTTAGTTTGATATCCCAGCATGTGGAAGAGTAGATACACTGTGTTCCTATTTTTATAGAGAATAATTACAAAATGTCAAGACTGCTTGTTGCCAGCGAAGAGCTAAATCTACACCTACATTTTCAGCTATGATTTTATATATTCCTTCATTCAAGTAGGTGACTGTACAAATGGATTATGTAGATGTATGTTTGGCAATGTAAAGCCCCACAAGGGTGTAAACTACCCTGAAAAGCAAACAAACTGAATAGTGTAAAAGGCTTGGCACGAGAGCGTGAAAAGGGTGTGAAACTGGGAAAATTATCCGAAACTAGAATAGCCTCATTGAAACCAATTACAGCTCCCCCGACACCATTGTCCCTTGTGCGTGCTCCTGACAACATCAAGTCAGCCATCATATCATTCCTGTCCCCTCTGGAGTTTTATGGCCCAGCCAGGTCCCATGACTTGTGTGAGGAGGAATCCTCCCAGCAGACTTCGGCCCTGAAGGCACCGGGGTCTGGCTGTGTCCACTAACAGTACTGGTCACAGTTATAGGAAAGAGGATGTGACTCACAGTCCTCTGGTCAGCTGCTGATCTTGTTCTAATGTTTAAGTGTTTTATTGCTGTGTTTAATGCTTTATATCACAAGACCTCTTGAAAAAGGAAAGAGCTGTTTGCGTTGAACAACTGAAGTAATAAAGACATCATTGCATTTTTCTAAACAAACACAATAAATCGTAGTCAGGTGTCCTGTTTCAGATCCCAAGATGCACAAAAACAAACATATTAAAGCACAAGAGGCTTGTGCTTTTTAAGTCACTTTCAACATTCGTTTCAACATTAAAAAACTCTATTAGGTTTTTGTAATGTAGGTCATAAGGAGAGGAGGAGGTGTTTTTTTCCTGTTCTGCTGAGCCCATCATAGTGTCCGGTGGGTCTGTTTTTCTAATCCCTCATCATCTTTCTATTTGAAGCTATTGTTGTTTCCTTCAGAGTGAGACTTTACCCTCTCATTTCCTCCTCCTCCAGATAAACAGGACAGGTATTTTGGGTTGCGGATGTGTGCAGGGGAGCCATTGTTTTATTTAACTCATATATGTCACTTCCTGCCTCTACACCCCACCCTGCCACAGAATGCAGCTTCCTGTCCCAGCCTGGTTGCCTCAGAGGTTCCTCCATCACCATCAGGAATGGCCCAGGACTTCACCCTATCCCTCAGCAACATCAAGGAGGTACGGCAGACAACCTCCAGCTATGGAGCTGGACTTGGACATCGTCCAAAATGCATGTCGTGAAAATGATTGGAATAAAACAGAAGCATATGGTGTGTTTGCTTCAAGCTGAGTTAAACACAGATGGATATTTGTGTGCTGCGATTTGGGTCAATGAATGAGAAAAACCTGAGTTTGGGTGTTCTCCATGTTGTGAGACAGAAATGAAAATGAAGAATGAGCGGGTATCTTTATGCTTATGTTGCTCACTGCTCAGCTGTCTGGGCCAGCCATGCATCTGGTGTCTAACTGTGACAAGCTGAGTTGTGCCTTCGTCAGCACAGGGTACAATGTGCAGTCAGTCTGAAGCAGCACACGCGGCAGGAGCTTTATTTCACTTGTGTTCATTTTAAATTCGACTAGTCCTTCCAAATCAGTTTTTTAAACTCCTATTCTCATCCTTAATCCACACTGAGCGAGCCAGACGCTGATCCTGCATCCCTGATAAGGACACGACTGGGATCTTCTAAAAATTCCAGTGCTGACTAGTTGCCAGGCATGGTCAGTCACACGCCTAACCCTGGCTGGCCTTTCGAGTCCTTTCCTGGTGTGTTGCTATGGTGACAGACATTGAGGAACATACAAACCTACACGCACATACACACACTTCCTCAGGAGAGCCCGGATGTCATTGGCTTTTCATACAACTCTTTATTGTGAACGTTTATGCAAACTGACATTGTTTGAGTAATGTCTTCATCTTGTCGGCAAGTCAGTACAGCCGGAAATATGGTGTCCCCTCTGGAATTTGTTGTGAATTTTCATTTGGTTCCCACACATTTTTTTTGAGAAACCTCAAATAAATTGTTTAGACTTAACTGTTATAAACAGTCATACCAAAACATTTAGCAATAAGCAGGTGTTTGCAAGTTTGTCCTCCAGTATCTACTAGTTCTCAAACTGAACGTAAGTCCAGGGAACATTTCAGTGTGTGGTACGTTGGAGTTTTTCTTGTAAAAAAGAACCTGCCAGATACCAAAAAAAATCAAGCTTCTAATGGTGTCAAACAGCAAAAACATAGCCTAGAAATAGTCCTGGAGAGGGCGATCAAAGTAGACCAATTTAAGCTGGCTGGATTCATAGAAAAATTATTTCTTCTTCTTTAAGTACTTATCTCTTACTGCTCTTAGCTTCTTTATGGTATTACCTTCACATTTCTTGGCTCATTTAAACTCAGGGCTCAGATTTTATGAAGAATGAATTCATATTCATTACTCCAGCTCCGAAATGACTTGCCGAGGTGTGGGAGTCCAGATGTTTATGAATATAAATTTTGAATGAATTGCATCTCTTCCTGGCAAGGACAATTGTTGTGGGTTATTTCAGTTTCCTGGTGCGGAGTTGTCAATTGTTACCAGACACTTTTGAGAGAGCATTTCTTTGCCAAAGTTTTCTCCAATTCTCTCATTGTGATTACTAAGGCAGTGATTGTTTCATTCTGAGAACACCATAATATCACAGTTGGTTTGCTTGTTATTGTTGAAATATTGCATATTGTTTTAAAATAAGTTATTTTGCATAACAGGGGGAGGAGCTTGAGTGTGACTTTGGGACAGAGCAGCGATATGAGGTTTCGTGGCTGAACAGCTCGACTGTCAAGTGCAGTGGAGTAACAGTAAGTATAGACAATGACCTTTCAGAAATAACTAGTAAGGCCATTTTCCAAGACTGAATAAAGATCAGTTAAGCTCTTGTTCAGTTGCTATGCATTTACCGGTTCAGTGTGCTCATTATTGTTAGGTTTAGGCCTTGTTTGTAAGTTGTTTTTATTGCAATTATTTTAAACCCTTGTTTATAAGCTGAATGAGAACCTGTTATTATCTCAAGCAAGATGGAGTAAATGCATGTGGAGGTAAAATGACAATATGAAACGCACACATTCACACTGTGGAGATGCTTTGCACAACCTGTTTCATTGTTGCCTCCTACCTTTCTGTCCATGTAGCTGTCCACTAATCAGAGGAGTCACAATTACCACCTCAACCTGATTAGGAGAGGATACTTTGGACGTAGGGGGGATCTTTTTGTCGACAGCCCTCAGCCCATGAGAGGTAAGACATTGGAGCCATAGTTACTGTATGGAGACATGTGGGGAAAAAAAGAAAAACAAATGAAAATAAATTTTCCATGTTCTACGCCTCAGCTGTTTGTTCAGCTCTCCTGCATTTACTGCGTAATTACACTTGCAAAAACAAGAAAAACTCTGACATAGCTGCCATTGTTGCTCCCAGCAATGCAGTTCACCTGTGCACAAATGTTTTCTGATGAGATGGATGGATTTAATTAAACCTGGAGAAATAAAGAATCGCTTACAGGGACAAACAGTGTTAGACTGCCTTTCACTTGCAATAATAGTAGTTCATGTATTACAACACATAATTTGCCAACAACTAGTAATTTACCATAATATCATATTCTGCTACCATCTAATTACACATAATGATTATAGAACATAGGGAACTGCAATTTTAAGGTGCTATCGATGCCTCTCACGAACCATGTCCGTATGTATTGTTACAAATACAATTTGAGCTCCATGACAACAGGGAGATGATGAAAAGTGGCGTGCATGTTGTTGAATTTGGCATGTTGTCTATAGTGCAGCTACAAGCCAATCCTTGCCTATCCCAGTCCCAGATGTTCTGTTTGCAGTCCATGTGTATAACATGTGAAAAACAGCCCTGGGCCGCTGCCAGACACTCTGCACTGTTAACGGACATGATAGTCGCTTCATAACATGCAGAGTCATCCATTTTTAAAAAAGCCACACACATTTTATTACCCACATCCAGGCGCACACACAGTGTAATATGCACACAAATGCATGCACAGATGCACATGCAGTGATACAAATGGGACTTCTCACTGGGAGGCACTTTGGAACATGAACATAATCATCTGTTTCTTACTGGCTTTGTTCTCCTCCACTCCACTAGCTCTCTTTTTCCTGATTTATTTTTATAGCCATGAATGTATCATCCTACAAATGCTTATAGTGTTTATTTAAAGCATGCAGCCCATATGGTTCACATGAGCTATAAAAGAATTTTAAGAGTCTACAGCAGACAAGGCAAACATAGTTTTGTAATGCTGTATTACAATAATAATTACCTCTCCCCTACATCCCATCCCCTTCTAGTGGAGGTGTACAACTGTAAAGTGGGTAGTTCAGACTGTTCCCAGTGCTGGGGCCGAGAGGATCAGGGCCATCTCTGTGGCTGGTGTGAAAACAGCTGCAGGCCGAGGGATGACTGCCAGCCAATCACTGATCAATGTCCAGCTCCCGAGATCCACAAGGTAAGATCACAGGTTAAACTTGCATGAGTGTAGGCTACAAATGTTTGCATTCATCCTCCTACACTGCCCACATCCTCGCTGTAGCCCCCAGGCTCTATTTTCATGCCATAAAATGGTGAATAATGAGGTCACTCACATGGTGCCCTGTCTGTCCAGTGTCAGCTGCTGAGGGAGCGTTTGAATAGAGTCTCATTAAAGCAGTTCACTCAGTAATAACACTAACACTCACTTAGCCACAGCCCTCAGGGGACACAGTGGAGTTGATCTGCAATCACTCAGGAGGGCATGGGAACACCTTCTGCCCTGTGTAACTACAGTATGTGTATAAACTGTGTGGACGAATATATGTGTAGGGCTCTTTGTGTAAAAAACCACAGAAACTAAAAAGAAACAAACAAGAACCATGATGTTTTAGATTTGTGGCCACAATAAGAGCAAAACCACACTGGTAAGAGAATTAAGGAGTGCTTATCTTACACAGGATCTGACTGTGGTCAAATCTAAATGATCATCATGATTACCAGCAGGGCCTTTATTTAAACTGTTTATGGAGCTCATTTGCATGATCATATTCGTTTGTTTGTCCAACTGTAATGGGAGTGTGTTTAGAGCCGTTCTCTTCTGCCGCTACTGAAGGTTATATCAGCTCAGCCACGGTAGGCGGTCATGGGAAGCACGGCTCACATGAGACCCAGTCGGCCTGAACTTCCTGTAGATAAAACCTGGTCAGCCCAGGAGAATAACCAAGCAGAACAAAGCAGGCAGACACACACACACACACACACACACTTGCTGTCTCACACATACACACTGTGTGAGTGTGGCCCACAATATGTCACACAAATAGGCCATATTGAAGCATTCACGATTATCCCTCATTCTTTGTAGCTGTCAGCATACTGTGACTAACAGGATGCTCTGTGAGAGTCCAACTTATGTGGACTTCTTACTTGACTCAAGTTAGCTGGGCTGAGATGCCGAATGCGTGGGTTGACCATTGTTGCAGTTCTCTCTCTCTTTCTCTCTCTCATTCTCTCTCTCTTTCTTTCTCTCATTCTCTCTCTCTCTCTCTCTCTCTCTCTCTCTCTCTCTCTCTCTCTCTCTCTCTCTCACTCACACACACCCCCACTGGATTTCTCAAGAGAGCGGGTTGCAGAAAGGATACTGGGGCTGTGGTTCTGTGGGGTGTGTGATGCAATGCTTTGGCAGCCACGTTTTCCCAGGGAATTTACAGGGGTTTTGAGCCCGAGTACTTACGGAGGAAAAGATGAGCTCTCCCTAAACATTCACACACACACACACACACACACACACACACACACACACACACACACACACACACACACACACACACCAGCAGCTTTTTGTTGTATAGTCCTACTGACTGTGTGTACAGCACAGATAATAAAATGTGTTTTTCTTGCTTTGCTTTGTCACATGCAATCTCGATGACAATATACTAGCGCCAAAATATCAATAATATGAAGGAGGATTTCATTATGCATTTAACTTTGCCACACACCACCTAATTGTGAAAAATTCCCTTTATTCAATGCAGTGACTTAAGACAATGGAGACATTTGTTATCTCTGCAGCCCTTTATTCTCATGTTATGTGTGGGCTAGTTCACTGTTTAAAAAAAAAAAAACACTGATTAGAGGTACTTCGGCGTCCAAAACAGGAACTGCCAAACATAGTTTATCCATGACATGAAAAGAAAAAGAGAACAGAGGGATCTGGGTGAGACATAAATGGTTTGGGAGAGAGGATGGAGAGCTATTTGGACAGAGAAAGGGTGGAGAAGGGTACAGTATAGTGAGAAGCCTTTTCCTGTTTTTGTCCTCACGTCCACCTTGATTAGTGTGAAGCAGAAGAACTGGAGTAAGGGGAAGAAGATGAAAGCTCTGGCCTCAAAGCGATCTAGTCAGAACAAAAATACAACAAAAAAAACATATGGATTTTATCAGTTAGGTAGTTTATCTGGTGCAGGTTGCATATGTGCATGTAGAGTACATGTGGGATATTTTTGATATGAATAGAAGGACGTGGAATAATTTAGTCCTCAAATGCGTTTAACAGCTCCAACATTCCTTGTGGAGGTTTTTCGCAGAGACACATTCACACCGCGTGAGCTCCCTGGAGGCCTGGCAGAGTTTGTGCTGTAAATCAAGACTCCCAGACTTGTAATAGGTGTAAATGAACAGCATGCCAGCTGATGTTGATGTCAATGCTCAATGGCACCACAGAGACACACTAGGTGCTGTAAGACGCATAGTGATAATAAATAACTCTGCTTACTGATCAGCTCTGTAGAGAGGGTGGGTGCTTTTTGTTCGTTTGTCTTCCGTGTTCATTTATGTGGTGTTTGTGCATTACATGTGTATAAAAGAATGTGGTTATGTATTTTTGTCAAAGGTCAAAGTATATATGTGGCACAGAGTTGTCACACTTAATATCCAAAAATTTAATATAACCACAAAAACATTTGCATCATTTCCTGTGGTGTAGCTCCCACAGAAATACTGTAAGTAAAAGGCTGGATTCCAATAGTTTGTTTTCACACAATATTAAAAGTAATACACTTTCTCTGCTTAACTGCCTCCCCCTTTTAGCTGGGAAATATATGGTTTATTTATCCGTGCTGTCACTTTTGCGGGTTTCAAATGATCTCAATGCAAAGCCAAAGCTCGCCCTTTTACCTAGACCAAACAGAAGTGCTGTTTTCATTCTTAAGCTCAGTTTCTGATAGAGCCGGAGCCAGGCTAATAACACAGCAGAAGGGTCACAGTGACCCCGGCTCAGCCAGGGGGTCATTCAGAAAAGCATGCGTGCTGCTGGGCTAGCTATGCTACAGTGGCAACATGATGGTAGATTGCTTCTGTCTGGGTGTCGGAGATGCTATCTCTAAAGCTGGGTTTCCGTGGTGATTGGAGAGGTGACGGTGTTCCCCTTTCTTTCCGCGGCTCCTAAGTGGGAAGTTTAGAGACCAAAGGCAAGGGCTGAAATGATGCATGTGAGTATGCCTCTGAACAACAGCAGAAATGGGACTAAGGAATTTGACCGAGCAGACACAGGAAAACAGATGAAAGGGAATAGCACTGTGCATTAATTCCCCTGTTGAGGCTTTGCTCTCTCACCACCACCATCAGCATTCGCTCTCCTCTCGACACTCAGTTCCCTAAATTGCCTCCCCACTCATCCACCTTTCTGCTGTGCTCTCCAGCTCTCTCTCTCTCACTCTGTCTGTCTCTTGTGGGATGTGAAGGGGGCTCTTAGCCTGCTCTTTATTTGCATGTGCTGTAGAGGATTAGAGACTGAAGAGTCTCAGACTGGCACAGTTAAGAGTCTGCTTTGTGTGTGCGTATACCTAAACCGTGTGTCTATTCTATTAGACCTCAGTCTTCAGCAGAAGAACACTTACAGAGGGTACTTGTCCTTATCTCTCTGTGTGCCACACTCCATGTCAAAATCAGAGACAGCATCTCCATTCTCTTAATTCTGTGTCATGTTCATTATCACCCGTCATTAGTGGAACATTTTTAGGGAGGTAATCTACTTATGAGCTATACTTTACTGTGCATGTTATAGGGTTTTCACAGGCTTTTCTACCCTGTTCATTACTTTACTCTGTCTTTGTCAGATCTTCCCCCTGAGGGGTCCAGTGGAAGGAGGCACCCTGCTGACAGTACAGGGCAGGAACCTGGGCCGGAGGGCTGGAGCAGTAAAGGTCTCTATTGGAGATGTGCAATGTAGTCTCCTGCCTGAGCTCTACACTGTCTCCGTAGAGTAAGTAGTACTATAAAATATGGCTAAATTATGATTCACAAATGTGCATATATAGGCTTATGTCAAGTGTTTGCATAGCAGTGTGTGGGGACTTTTTTTCCTTTCAATTTCCATTTCCATTATGTTTTACATCATCTACACTGCCAAGATGACAACGTGGAAGAAAAACAAGGTTATATTCTATAATTCAATATAATTTTAAACCCTGCTGCAGTTAGGACAGGTGAGATGATAGATAACAATTACCCATTGTCATGGTAACCTGACATGCTTTCAGGCAGGTGAGTAGAGAGTGAACACAGTGTGAAACCAGACCTTAACCAGTGAAAATACACCTCAGATCAGACAGTACAGTGAGAGCTATCTGATTTATTATGTTTAATGGATAGAGGAAGCTAGATGTCACTCACCTTATCTGCAGGGAAAAGCATGAAAAAAATTCATTAAAAAGTAAAAAAAAACTGCCTCTGATTGGCTAACGCTAACCTAACCAACCAAATCAACAAAAGCAAACACTAGCCAATCAAACAGCTGGAGGTTGAATTGCATTGTGGGTAATATTAACCCCTGGTTTTGACAAAAAAGAAGAAGGCATGAGATAAAAAAGATATCTTCTATCTGGTTCTCCTCCATTAATTTAACTCCCCAACAATGTTATAGGAACGCTTTGCTCAGTCAGTGCAGAACTCTTTTAAAGGTCCATTGTGTACCATTAAGGAGGATCTATTGGCAACTAATGTTTTCATTAGTGTATAATCACCTGAATATAGGAGATGTTATGTGTTCGTTAGAATTATCCATTTTCATCTACAGATGCCGCTGGTTGCCTTCCATGGGGTCCGCCATTTTGAATAGTTGCTTGTTTCTACGGTAGCACAGAACAAACCACTGGCTCTGGATAGGCCCTTATGCGAGCCACTGTAGCTTCACACCTACACACTTCACAGCCCGTTCTCAGTCTCAGTTGTCAAATACAGACGCAAGTGGTGTTCAGTTGGTTGCAATCTGCAACTTCACCGCTAGATGCCACTAAATCCTACTACAAAATGTGAGAGTTGCGACTGGTATATTAAAGTCCTGGCAACACATACATGAGACAGAATTGCAAACTGTTATAGATACCAGATCACATTCAAACAAATGTGTGGAAGGTTACTTACTAGTAGTCTTGCATGTCCACCAGTCTTGAAAATAAAACATCAACCATCCCTGCATGGTGGAGTTTTCATGTATTCATGAGGCTAATTTTCACAAATATTATTATGCAGCACACTTCTCATTTTAAATGACTCCATCGCCATTCCTCCGTAGCTCAGGGACCATCACACTGTCACCATGGAGACAGCAGGACCCCGCTTTGACACAGGCATAACAGAGCTCAGTGGAACTCAGTAACTCTATAGTTACATCCAAACTTCCATTCAGTATCTGTAATGTTCCTTGAATGGAACTGTTTATCTGGTCTTGCTCCACTGAAGCCAATCATTGTATTAAAGACCAGTTCGAGGGTGACCTGCGGGTCTTACCTGTCATTCCAGCTGCTTGACACATTCCCCGAAACCGCACATGTCGAAAAACAGCGAATCGCATTTCACTCCTGGGGTGTTCTCATCTAGTGTCGTCATTCCTCGTTGGCTCCTGAGGCTGGTTGTTATGACAGCAAAGCATATCCTCATTGCTGGAAGTGGCATTGACAAATCATAATATGTCAGTGCATCTGACAGTGTCAGCACATTTGGCTTGCACACACACACGAACACACACAGATCTTGATATTTCTATACTTGTGGGGGACCTCCCATTGATTTGATTGGATTTGATCCTATCTCATCTCATCAACTTAAATCATAAACATTAAATCTTGCCTTATTGTAAAGCTTTTTTAGAAAAAAATGAAACCTATTCATACCACATCCATAAAGCCTGGTGAAGATGTGAGGTGTTTAAAATAACCACAGCTTAACAAAAATAGCTCAGTTCAGAAGATCCAAAATTCTAACTGGCTCTTGAAGAAATGTCTTACACAGCACACACAGCACACATACACACCTACACATGTGACCTAATTTACCATGGCTGTTGAGACAGGTGTCTGCTCGTGTGCTGAGAGGTGAAAGTTCACATCTGTGCGCCAAAAGGAAAATGTGCTGCACTGAAGAGACTGTGCTCCACTCACTCGGTGTCAACATTTTAATTAATGGCACAGTCAGTCTAGGCACACCTCATTTACTGGAGCACTTCTCTGGGTTTTTGGCTCAGGTCCTCCATGCTGCCCTCTCTATCATTTTAATATGAGCCTTGAGTGGCCTTCGCCCCAGCATTTAGCAGTACCACAGACAACACTCACATCCACACACGCACAGGCTTGATTGTTGATGATCCTCATCATCCACTCAAGGGAAATGAACAGAGAAATCTTCAAAACTAGCCAAAATATTGCCTTCTGAAACCCATAATATCTCAGCAGTGGGGAGGTGCTGGAATGTGGAGCAGGGTCAATCAATGCTCTGTCTGCTGTATGTCCTTTGACTTGGATCACACTACATCAACATCACACTCAGCACACACACTGGGGAATCTGCATGCGTTGGCAGCTGCTACCCCTTAAAAAAATGCCTGGCCACCCCAGTTCGGTGTCAAATGTTAAATTAAACACATTCATTTAGATAAATTTTTTTAATAACATGTTAAAAAATGCAAATTAATTTAATATTATGGCTGCATTTTAGATTATCTGATAGACTTAAGTTTATAGAAAGAGGTCTGAAAATGTATTGATTTCTATTTTCACCTTTAGATATTTCTATTCAGTGCTTTACTAATGTGCCACATAGGGCTGCACGATATCGCACAAATTATAATTTCTGCGTCACAAGTTACTTTTTAAGCTAAAATGGGAAATATTTTCGGTTTCCAGCTTCTTTAATGTGAGGATTCGATATCATTGTAAAGTGAATATCTTTTGTTTTTGGACTGTTGGTCGGACATAACTAGACATCTGAAGACATCTCCTTGGAAAACAATTTCAGGACATTTTTCGCTATTTTTTAATTTTGTTCTTTTTTATTAACTAATAATCAAGAAAATGATATCGTCCATACCCTCATACTTTAATATTTTGACGTAGAACAGGTATTAAACTGTGTTATGTGGTATTAAAAGGGTCTTAGAAATACTATAAATACTTCTTTCTGTACTCTTCAAGAAATATTGGTTTTATGTTTGTCTTTTTTGAAGAATAATCCTCAATATTATGGTTCAGTAGCATATATCAAATGTGATGTATTGTTGTGATAACAGTTTGTTTCTCAGAATGAATCCAGTTAAGCCTGAAGCAACCCTACAGGTTCAGGCTGATTCAGGCGCCAATTTCTTTTATTTCCCTGAGGCTCCAGTCTTTGAATAGTCATGTTTCACTTCATTTGTTCCTGTTTCTTTCTTTCCTAAATCAGAGCATGTGAAATGATGCATTTTCTTCAGACAGGTGCGCTTCTGCCCTCATGGCACGAAACTGACAGGAGTATAATTTGAGTGTAACGACATTCTTTACCTGACGCTTCTGTAATTAATGAGCACAAATGTAGAACCTGCTATCCACAGATGGCTGGATAACTGCAGGTTATTTTAGAATATTTTATATAACGGCTATTCAGGCATATAAAGAAAATCCATGTTTTAATTGAGCTCATTAAACACTGCAGTGCTTCGGGCTTGAGTTTGGTTAAAACAGAACAACTTTGATTGAGTCATATAAGACCTTACATTTAAAAACAAACTCAAATACAGCTTTTCTCTCTGGTCTCAGCCTCAACAGCCTGACCCCAGCCAGGCCCAAATCTGTCCTGCCCAGCCTTAGTTTATGTTCTGCCAAGTCCTCCTACATAGAACTCAGCTCCTCTGCTTATGTAAATTCCCCACAATTCCTCTGTCTGTCAATCATATGATCACAATCTGAAAATGTATAACCACTGTAGCACCAGGCACCTGACTAAATAAACCGACAGGGTGTCAAGCTGGAGGGGGATCATGTGAGGTGATAAAGGTTGTGTTCCCCCTGAAGTACATTTATCCCAGTGAGGCCCCAGAACAGTAGATCCCTGTGCCTCAGTACACCACCGTGTCATTAATATGAGACGTCCCTGTAGAGCGTGCACTGATGACACAAGGCTTAATCACAGCCAGGAGGCGAGAGAACAAGCCTCAGCAGCCCCTTAATCTCCTCTGTGGTTAGACACATCTGGTCTGAGGAGCTTTGAACTTTACATCTCCTGATATCTGATATCTCAAGGCTTTATTGGATTCCATATGTAAATGCATTAAGGTTTGATGAATTAGTTCATAACCACCATTCTCCAGGTTTAATTATGTGTCTTTGTTTAGCGGCCACGATCAAGATCTTTTTCTTCATCTTTATATTGGGTCCCTCTTTTTTTTAAATTAGTTCATAAGATTAAAATTATATTGTATTATTGAGTGTTCTTATCCATTATTATTATTGTTTTTTATTAACTGATCCCTGATTATGGTGTTTTGACAACCAAACAAGGAGTTCACACTCTTCTTTTATTCCCTAGGCTGGTGTGTGTCACTGGGCAGTCTGCACATGACAGGACAGATATTGTCCAAGTGGACGTGGATCAGAGTGGGATCGGGACGTCAAAGGAGAGCTTCTCATACTTAGTGAGTATTCTCCAGACGTCTACCCTCCAGCTGATCTTTGCTTTCTGTTCTATCAGTCTCTCCCTCCACATTCTTCTTCTTCTACACTCTCTTGTTCCTTGTTCCCCACTGGGAAAGCCTTCCCAAGTGTGTCAGTTGAGAGTTAACAGATGCGTTTTATGATTCTGAGGAATGCGAGTGTGTGGGAATCTTCAAACGTTCATCAGAGCTGCAACTAAGCACTATTGTCATTCTGCACTCGCTGCCAGCAAAAACAAATATGGCGATTGTCGGAAGGTCCCTTTGCTCTGAATTCATCACTGGTCGGGTCAAGCTAGCCAGCATTGTGTTAATGGACCTCGACCCACACAGTCTCCCATTGGATTTAGAGTATTCAGCCAGTGGAAATACCCATGTAAGCCCTTTGTTTCTTTTTGTTTGTGAACAAAGAGGTTTTTATAATTCAGAGCTGGAAGGATCTATCATTTCAGCAGCCTCTAAGAGCAGCTCTGCCTATGAATCATCCCATAGAAATCACCCTGATCTCGAAGTCCATCTTGATACACGAGGATGAAGAAAATCCAAAACAACAAACATTACACCGTCCTCTTGTGGGAACTCCTCTCAGGCTTCCATGTCCAGCTCTGAGATGCTCAGTGTGAGAGGGGTTTCTCCTGCAGGGTGGTGAGGGGAAGATGTGGGAGAAAGGGAAAACAGTTTTGGAGACAGGATATGTGCCTCTGCTGCATCTCCTTCCTTGAACCTTTAGACGGAAACATCTGCCTCCTTATACCCCCTCTGACACACAAACACACAATAGGTTTCCTCCATCCGTGCACACTGAGGAAGTGAATCCTGTCAGTGAGGATAAGAGGTTTCCCTTGAGGCGAGGTTCATGGCAGGGATAGAAAGTTCGGAAAGAGCAGGAATGCTGATGCTGGTAGCTGCAGAGCTGGACAGGGATATTCATCTTCGCCTGAGGAGCCTTTGTGTGTGTTTATGTGTGTGTGTGTGTGTGTGTGTGTGCATGTGTATATGTGTTTGCATGTGCATATATGACTGTATCTGCATGCAGTGTTTCATGTGTATGCATTATGTACAACATTATTGCTTCTTACCCACAGTATAGCTGTCCTTCAAGCTTGAGCCCAAAGGCTTCTGCAGCAATTTAACATATTATAGCATGAGCTGTCTTCACACTTTTCTTCACTAATTTACTGTTATAGTCAGCAGCTGTCTCAGCCAATCTGAAAAGACAAGAATTTCTGAAACCTCAAAGGATGAGGAAAGATTTTATTTGGTGTATCATAGAGCACAAAAGACAGTTTGAGTAAGCCCCGTCTTTTCTAGTCACAGAAGCTGTCAGATGTCTGATGATAGATTTGATGTCTTGTTAGTCATGTGCTGTATTTCTCGTCTGTATTCAGATCCCAAAACTGCTGTCCATGGAGCCAAAGAAAGGCTCTCGTGCTGGAGGAACTAGAGTATCCATCAGGGGGGAGAATCTGGACATTGGCTCTCAGGTCAGAGTCATGGTCAACAACACGCTGCAGTGTACCATCACAGAGTAAGTACTGCTTGTCTTAAGTCTAGACCAAGTCTCAAGTCTGTCAGAGCACGTCCTTAGTTGGAAGTCTTAATGAGTAAATTGCAAGTCATGATGCAAGTCTTTAAGTCTTAAGTCTCTTTATGCATTGGAAGGTGATTTCTTCTGTATCAGTAGTTTCTTCACATTGCTGACACCAAGTGCTGTAAATGCATAAACCTATTGATCAAATAATCAAGCTGTGTGGCTATGCAAGGCCTGTATGATTGCTCTGCGTGTAGCGATAGTAATGTGTATTTCAAAAGAATGCTTGTATGAAAATCTGCCATAAACATAACTCTGAATCCAAGTGGAAACGTTTTATGTTTGAGCACTTGTAGACATCACAAGACATGTGGTTAAGATGTTTATCTCGTGTTTTTAGCAAAACAGATGAAACCATTGAGTGCACCATGCCTCCAGCCTTACAAGCACACACTGACTCAGTGGCAGTGTGCGTGGAGTTTGAAAACCTTCCCTGTCAAAGTGCCGAGCTCAGCACCACGTACACCTACGAGAAGAACCCAATAATCAACTCCATCTACCCCAAAAGGAGCTACCTCAGGTAGGTAGACAGCTCTACACACAGCAGAGGCATTAAAACCTAAACGTCTTAGAAATCTCAAGCTGGATGACTCTGCGGTTCCCCTCCCAGTGTCACTGACATAACTCATTACTGTAATGTCGTCCTGATGTGCAGCATTTTCTCCCTATTGTGTTCTAAATAGTGCAGCATGTGTGTGACAGGGTAGCGGCGTGTCTTTGATGACATGTGCACGGATTTTCACTGCAGTCAAACTGTTTTGCATTATTATCTGGTCCCCTGTTTCTCTCTTGTTTTGGTGCAGTGTCCCAAAGTATTTGCATACCAGTATGAATTTGACACATTGTTGTCATGTCTGAGATGTGACTCTCTGTGTCTGTGTGTGTGTGTGTCACAGTGGTGGCAGGACCATCACAGTGAAAGGCCAGGGTTTTGATCTGGTGCAGAGTGTCATCATGCAGGTGCTGGAAATAGGAAAAACGGTGAGCAACCAGTTTCTTTTTTTATTTGATAACACTCATTCAACCATATAATCATACTTGTAAGGATTTATAATTAAGTAGAAGAAAAATTAAAAGATGTGTTTTTAATGTGTTAATTAATGGAGTCACCACACTTGGAACCTAAAAACCTTACAGGACTTGTTTGACATTTTGGGAAATACACGTATCTGCTGTTTCGCAGAGAGAATCAATACTACTCTCATATCTGTCTGTTAAGTATGAAGCTACAACCACTAGCTGGTTAGCTTAGCTTGGCATAACAACTTTAAACAGGGGAAAGTCTGGCCCTGTCAGGAAGTGTCGGGAAGTCACTGCTAGTAGGCTGATTATCTCATCGATTGTCTCATCTAACTCTTGGCAAGAAAGCGAATAGAAATCATAAATGTCAAAGCTACCTCCTTTCCTTCCTCAGAGCTGCACAGTGGTCTCCAACTCCATGATTACCTGCCCGTCTCACGCGTCCAGCCAGTCCCAGCAGACCTCGGTGCAGTTCTTCCTGAATGGCGTCCTCTACACGGGTGATAGCCCCTCCTCCTATGACAGCGGGGAAGCAGAGGATGAGGACGAGGAAACTCATAAAGTTCACTTCCAGTTGGAGTATGTGGAGGACCCTCAGTTCTTCACTGCCAACAAGGAGAAGCTGATCAAACACCACCCAGGAGAGCCACTGACGCTCATCATCAACGTGAGTGACACTGCTGAGACTGGAGGTTCAGATCAGTGCTTCAGTGTTAAGCAAATGGTCACGTGTTTATTAGAAATTGTTTTGAGTCAATGTCCTCAACCTCTAATTGAATGGGTATAGGAAGCTGTTTTATTGATTACATATACTATTGTATGGTTGATCAGATTAAACTGTGCAGCAATAGTTTGCAATAGCACTAGGGTTGTATCTAGATTATTTACAAGAAAACAAGACTAAGCACGCTACCAGCTCTCTGTAGTTTGGCACAATGGTGCTTTGAGCTTCAACTGACACTGTCAAATCTGACAGAAACTATGTCTAGCACTAAGAGTCAAACTTAACGATACTATCTGATGTTAACTCTATTTACAATCTTGGCTTTCATGCACCCATATTTGAATTCTACATAGCGTAAAGATGGTGTTTTCTAAAGGTTGCTTGTTGCTTGGCTCCAAAAGCACCACTGCTGTAAACCGACTGCCCCCACTGTGAACAGCAGACAAGGCTGAACGTTCATTTATTCAAATTCACATAAACCGGAGGCACAAAATACACATCAAAGGCCCCCGTCCGCTGAAACGTGTTGACTTCTGTCGGGGGTCTGAGGGGGGAAGGGCGCAGTGGCAGCTCAGCGGGAGGTCCCATGTTCCTGTGGCCTGGCTGATCTAAGCACCTGTCTGCATGGATTCATCGCCTTAAAGGGCTGCCAGCTGTGACACTGTACGACATGCAAATGCTAACAGCACAGACAGGGAAGTTCGGACATGATGCAGCTTCCTCTTCATGTGTTTGTGTGTGTCAGGATGAGGCCCCTGCAGGAATCGCTGTCTCAGCCCAGTCTGTCTACATGGCTGACTTGTCTGTTGTTTCCTGTTTTCTTTAGGAAGGTGGATTCCACTTGTGGTGGACCTGAACGGGGGAGAGAGGCTGGAGAGAATGTGTGTGTTTGTTTAATAGGGAGCTTGTTAGTCAGCCAGATCCTATATTAAGGACCTGAGCTGGAATGTGGGTGGGTTTTGTTTGCTTTCATCCTGTTTTGGCCTTTAGAATTCATTGTTTTGGTCCAATGAGTTTAAGTGTGAAATGTTGTGTTGTATATGGAGGTTATACTGTATATTTTACAATATGTTCGAACATATTTTGCTATTTTAATGCTCTTTGTGTGTATATTACCAATGTGTATACACATGTGTGTGTATGTGTCTGTGTGTGTGTGTGTGTGTGTGTGTGTGTGTGTGTGTGTGTGTGTGTGTGTGTGTGTGTCTGTGTGTCTGTGTGTGTGTTAGGAAGCATTTGTTGACAGAGACCCAGGGGGTGGCATCCTGCAGTAGGGACAGAACAGGGCCCTGAGGGTGTAATCAAAGCAAGGAAGCACACTGGGGATAAACACACTCACAGACACACTTCCTCACTTGTCATTCTTATATTAAAGGGAAATTGCATTTTCATGCAAAAGGGTCTTATTTTCGTTGTTTTGGCCATCATTCCTATATAATAATAATCACATGGAACATACCAAGTTAAGTGAGATCTAGGAATTCTGCAATATTGCTAAAAATAAGTCTGACAGAGCAAGAAATCAGATGATACAGATGATACATACAGGTCGGGCGGCTGTGGGTTTAGATAGTAAAGTGGGTCGTCTACTAATCAGATGGTTGGCAGTTTGATCCTTTGCTTGCTTGAGCAAGATGCTGAACCCCAAATTGTGTACGAATGTGTATGCATATGTTAGTTTCAGTTGAATGTGTATTGTATGAATATTGGCAAATGTGGCATGTAGTGTAAAACCATTTTGAGTGGTCAGAAGACTAGAAAGGCGCTATACAAGTACAGTCAATTTACTGTTGAAACAACCCACATGGTTAGTTAGACTTATTTGAAAGAGAAAACAAAGAGGGATGGTAAAAAATATAGTCTGTTTAAAACATCCATCAGAGTTTACAGACTGGCTTCCTGGTTCAGTAAAGTGCTTTAGATATGTAGCTAAACAGTTGGCTTGTTCACAACCTGTCTGATCATCTGTCCACTCACGTTCCTCCGTTTTCAGACTTAGTTCCAGCAATGTGGCCACATTCCCTGATCTTAGCAGGCTCTCTGGAGAGTACAATGGTGCAGATAAAAACTAAAAACCGAGTTGCAACCCCAAATTTTCCTCTAAGACCAGTCTGAGTGTGTGAAATAAACATTTAGTCAATATACTGTACAATCTTTCTAGAAATCCACAGAGACTTGATGCCATTGACATTAAAGTAGTATGCCAGTGCTTTAGTATTGCACTTCCAGAAAGTTAAGAACTTAAAAGAGACGAGATAAAAGGTCAAAATCAAAGCAGTGGAGGCCAAGATATCCTGGTGTGCAATGTTTAATCTCTAGTATGGGACAGACTCCAGAAACACTGCATCCGACATTTCACATGAAGCAACTCAATAGCATCTATCATTAAATCTTCGATGTCTGGCGAAGGTCTCTTAAACTCCACACCCCACAGGTTTTCTGTTATAAAGCTTTAATCTCCAAACCCAAGCTGAAATAACCCTGATGACATCAATATAAGATCAAGCTTCCTCGAGAGCCACAGAAGACATTGTACAGCTGTTTTCTTGTTTACTTCATGTGTCAACTTAGTGGAATGTCCCTTTAATTAAACTAGGACTCAGCAGTGAGAGGCGGGGCTCGTATTGACACAGGACAGAGTTGGACTGATAAAATGAGGGCCGTGCAGCTTATTCCAACAGGCTCCTGTAAAGGCCCTGAGAATGTTATTTTGGGCAGAGGGAGGGATGACTGTCAGCGGGTTTGTTTGTAGAAACTTCCCTCCCTGGCCATGTGAGGAAGGCAGCGGGAATGTTTGCTGCTTTAAGCTGAACTCTAGCCCAGAATGGATGAGTTTTCTGCTGGCTTCCTCTAAGTGACAGCTGCGTGACAGGCCTACAGCACCCCAGTTTCTGTGTGTGTATACAAAAATGTGTATGTGTCTTGTACATATGTGTGGGTTAAAGCTGCTGTGGTCCTTATGAATGTTATCTGTGCCTGCTCAAACCAGGCCCCTCTGGTCTCTTACCACTGTCCGGCTGATGGCTGTTTTTGTTCGCTTCTGGTGTAGAAAGGGCCAAGTGATCTGGAGCTGGTGCCGGAGGAATACTCGGTGATGGTTGGCTCCTATCCCTGTAACATCAGCTTCCATAACGACCAGCTGTTCCACTGCACCATCAACGGACTGCTGGGCTCCAGTGAGAGAGAGCTGCCTGTCACTGTAAGTATGCAAGAATGTAAAACACCACAATTTAATACAAATACCCATACAGCCTTGTGTTGAAAAAATTGCTCGATAGACCCTGATAATTTGAGGATATCACCCATCTGTCACACTGTGCTCAAGCAAAAAATTTAATCAGAATACAGACCATCTGTGGTGTTCATTGAAACAGTTTTGATCTGCACAGGTCCATGCACAGTCGGTGATATGTGTGTCTCACTCGGTGCATTATGAATGGTTTGTGGTCTCTGAGAATGCCACCATGAATCAGCAGTTTGTGGGGGTGGTGCAACAGTGCCACAGTGGAACAGTGAAATGTTCCCCGTTATCTTTTTAATCCGTCTATCATCACCGCCACAATCGCCTACCACACAGAAGCTATCTGCTCAGAGTGAGACCAAAGCCTTCAGACTCTGTGATGAGCTCACTCCTTGCTTGTGTTTTTGTTTTGTCTCTGAGCTCTCTCCATCACAATTAAAGGTCTTAATCAAGATGTCTTGATACAACCAGACACTCTCTTTCCTCTACCCACGTTTCCCATCTGTTGTTGTCCATTTTAGTCTGTTTGATAGGGCTTTATTAAGGGGGGAAAGCACTCATCTATATTTAAATATGAACCAGTCTGTGAGTGGTTTGCTGAAATAGCTCAGAAACATATGTTAGTGTGTCTCTGTCAGTTGAGTTGTACTGTAAGAACAGTTTCCCCACTTTGACACAGAAATAGAAGTAAACTCTTTTATCCCACTCTCCTTCTCCTTCTCTCTCTATTTTTCTCTCTACTTGTGTACCTGTGGCTCCCTCTCGTGCCGACCCACCCACCCCCGTCTGTCTCTCAGGATGTCTGAGAATAAACATGCACAATTAGCAAAGACATAAAGGCAGGGCAAGGGTCAAATGAGATGTCATAACACAAATGGGTGGGCTGCCTGCACATTAGCAGTGAGGATGATTAAGTGTGCACATTCGACAGGGGCATAAACAGAGTGCATGTACATTTTCTTTTGCTTTGGAGCATTTGAATAAATGCATACATGTTGAGCTGTGTGTATAGCTTATGGCCATTTGTGTTTCTTCACTTACTTTCGGTGGCAGATCTATTTTTACACGCCTGTGTTTTGCTTGGCTCTGAAGTGAGCTGCAGAAGTGGATGTGGGGAAGCAGTGTTTTTCTACCCCGAGCGAAACAGGAACATGGAACAATGGCATTTTCCCCTCCATTACACCAGGCCTTGCTGTTGCAGTCTCTGGAAGAAGGCCTTCTCTTGCTGGTCTGGGTAAATAAATGTGTGGACCAGAAAGAGAAAGAGGGGATGAGAAGAGAAGGAGGGAGCCCAGTGAACCAGTTTCCCCCTCAGAGTAAGACCAGTGTAAGAGGGATTTGGTCTGAGGATTGGAGGCTTTTTATCTGAGGCTCTTTTTATGAAGTATGTTCGGATTGGGGAAGGAGAGGGAAAGATGTGAGGAGGGACCGCAGAGACCCTGCTGACTAATCAGAAGGCAGAAGTGAAAGTCCTTTTCTTGTCACATTTGGGTTACTCTGAACCGGGTGACTCTTCCAGCTCGTTGCAGCGAGAGACCATTTTTCAAGATCTACAGTGTGTAATTTTTTTTTCAGTGTCTGCACCTGTGTCCACAAAAAAAATGATGTGTCGTCTGTGCATTTGTGCATGTTCAGGCACTTGCGTTCCCATTAAGAACTGCCTGTGTTATACTGCAAGCATTTTCATACTGTATTACAAAGAAAATACTTAATGTCTCTGCTCATTACTGCTCGGTCAGTTTCTGCCTCTTCTTCATCTTTCTTCCTTATCATCTTTTTCAAAATCAAATTTACTTTATTAGCTGATTGGGATTAAGTATAATATTATCACAGCAGATGTCATATGATGCCGAACTTTTAAGAAAAAAGACACAAAGGATCATATTTGACTCCAAGTATCCAGGGAGGTTTTTAACAGTTGCACATCTTGAGAAAGAAGACCATGCTTTTATTTGACTTGTGATGATGTCAGCTTACGAGAAAGTTCTTAAAACTGCTGCATTTACATCATTTTGTGTTCAGTAATATAAAAAAACATGTTAGAACAATAGTCTGCTATTATATGGTACAAATCAAAATTATTGTCTCATACAAAACAACTATACTACCTACATAGTGCGTTCTGTGAAGCAGAATTTGAGTTCATGTTCATGTTATTTATGCTCAGGTACATTACTATTAGCTATAGGTAGGGTATATTTAACGGCCTCCCTGAAAAAGATTAGCTTTGTTTGTTATGTGATTTAGGGGATTTTTATTGCTTTTTATACAAAGATGGAAGAGCTATATTAAAATGTCTTTCATCTCTTATGACTTCTTCTACTTGGATAATTATAAAAGACTTGAGTTGTGATTCAGGAAGGGAGCCTTTTGTAGTAGGTTTTATTTATAGTGCTTACGAGACAAAGGTTTTATGTGAGAAGTTATATTATTTTTCTGACAATATTGGACATGTGGGCTGCAACAGCTAATACTATGATAAAAAGAAACATAAATAATTGAAAAAAATGAAATAAATGAATATATATGACAAGAAGTATTTAACACGTAAAGGTAATGGTGAGAACCGTTGAAGGATAAAACGAAACAAAAGTGAAAGCAGGTTTTGATGGAGCTCAGTCCATTTTCATGTGTTGTTGCTCTTTCTCCTTCTAGGTGCAAGTGGGGAACTTTCGCCACACCATCGCCAAAGTGCAGCTTGGCGGCAGTGAGCTGGCCATCGTGGTATCCATTGTGGTGTGCTGTGTGCTGCTGCTGCTGTGCACTGTGGGTAGGTTGTGTACACATGCTTACCAGCAGATGATGGATGTGTGCCTGCTGTAGCAATGGATGCTCCAGATGTGGAACAGATAAAAAGAATTTCAGGGTCATAGTTTCTCGCACTTGCTTCATCCCTCCTCGGTACCCAAAGCACAAAGAGTCCACTGTTCCCCTTGCTGTCTATTCTGTCTGTGTGCGTATATGTGAGGGTGTGTGTAGTTTATTCTGTAATCTTTGCGTGAGTGTGTGTGCAGGGCAAGTGCAGGGGTGAAAATTGGTGCTAGTGTGGATTTTTCTCCTTTTCAGATATTCACACTACCCGTTTTTTTCTTTTTTTTGGTGACGTAACTTGAAATAATATGAGCGCAAATTTGATAAACTAAACTTAAACTTAAATTTCTGAGAAACTTTCCTTGTACGTGCTCTCACAGTCAGATACATTCATGCAAATATTTTTCACAGGCTCAAACTCCTTTAGACGCATTTTTGATCCTATTCATTATGTTGGAAGCTGTCATTGTGTGACTGTCTTCTGTGGGTTGAAACATACTGTATATAAACTGCATTTTGTCTTTCCCAGCTCTTGTAGTGTACTGCACAAAGAGCCGAAGGGCGGAACGCTACTGGCAGAAAACTCTACTCCAAATGGAGGAAATGGAGTCCCAGATCAGAGAGGAGATCCGTAAAGGTGTGTTTACTCAAGAACCCACACATGCACACACACACACCCTCTACTATTGTACCAGCTCTGCTATCTGCGTGTTGTTTAGACCTCAAATGATGTTTTGTGTCGATTGACATGAAAAAAGAGCTTCTGGGAAATATTGACCACATATATTTGTCTGTTTGTACACGTCCATTTGGGTGTGTACGTGCAAAATATGTGTTTGTTTGAGTTTTTTTTTCTAGGCTGAAGTGGGAGGGAGATACAACAGTTGACAGATTTGTGCCTAGTAAGCGTGACTCATAAAACACAGTGTCTGACAAATGATCAGTCACACGCAAGACACACTGAGTGGCCACATCGCCTCTGCTGCGTCTACGCTGTAGGAGCAAGGCCTGTGTATGTGTGTGTGTCTGTATATATATATATATATATATATATATATGTGTGTGTGTGTGTGTGTGTGTATTCGTGTGTGCCTAGGGCTTTAGGGTAAAGCCGTGTGAAGGCCACGCCGTGTCTGTGTACCCAGATTTATGGTGTAGAGATGGGGGGACGGATAGAGAAAAAGAAGTAGAGGGAGGCGGAGATAGGAGCGGGAGTCAGGGCCGCGGGTCCGGGGAGAAGCAGGAGTGTGGGAGGAGGGTGGTGATTTAGTCAGAGGACACGGATAGATTTGTGGAGTTCAGGGTGAGGGTGCACAAAGCGAGGGATAGCTGAGACGAAAGATGTGATAAAAGCAGAAGAAGAGGGAGTGAAGAAAGATGGGGGAATTGATGTATTCCAGGTTACAGGAACGGGAGGATTCCGTCCGAAAAGTGAGGCAGAGGAGAGGTTTGGTATTCAGGCCTGCTGCTTCTAATCAAGAGTTGATGGTGTGAACTGACTGGTGGTTTAGAAGACACTTTAGTGAGAAGGAGGATAAATAACCTGGAGGAGTAATGAAATATGTTTTAATCCCTCAGGTCTAGTATTCCCTTCCTTCTACGCAAACACAGTCTGTAGAAGCTGGCATTGTAACCCAAATACGTCTCTCATCCTGCAACAGGAAGAGCTTTTCCATAAAGGGATCTCCAGCGTCTCATTAGAGGAGAACATTATCCTCTCCTAGAACATGCTATCCAATAAAGTGGCTCCAATATTAGCATGCAGATTCAAGTCAGTGTCTGGATATGCTGATACTGTTTCGGCAGCATGTAAACCTCAGCCTGCACACATGTTTTGGATGAGGGCCTCAGACTGGATTTGGCTGCTCAGATTGCTGTTTGGTAAATATTTGCCTGCATGCCATGCTGGACTGTGCAATCTGGCAGAGAAAGAGAAGGAAAAAGAGAGAGGAAAAAGATCAGGGGATCAGTGTTTGGTATATTTAGTATTCAACCAGAACTTGACACTAGATGTAGGAAATTGAATGATACATTTCTGTGTCTGATATAAAATTTCTTCCACTGAACTCAGCCAGATTCTTGCAGATCCCACGGCAGCCTGGGAGAATTGGATGGGTATTGGATTAGCCTGTGAACAGATTTCTGACTCATTTTGCTTAGCAACAAATAAAGCTTGGGGAGCCAGAAACAGAATTGTGGTTTAAAAACAGTCACTGGATTCAAGCCCTTTTGGGTCTTTCTGTTTTTTTTGTTTTTTTGTCCTTTCAGGCTTTGCAGAGTTGCAGACGGACATGACAGACCTGACCAAGGAGCTGAATCGCAGCCAGGGCATCCCCTTTTTGGAGTACAAACAGTTTGTTACACGCACGTTCTTCCCCAAGGTGAGAAAGCCTATTTTTTCCCGCTATCTGATTTCGACTGGCACACTGACAATGCCATTTTTCTCAATGGGGTTTTAATAGTTTCTCTTTTCCCTACATGTCCCATTTCACATTTCCCACTGCTTGTAATATGCAGGATAAAAATTCACCTTGGAACTTTTAAACACACAGCAGACATCTAGCAAAGTGTAGCTCAGTTTGGCACCCCACAGGAGAGTTAATGTGTTCTCTATAGGTAAGCATTTTTCTGATGTGTGATCCACCCTGAAGGTAGACTGTGGGTCTATCTGTTGGTGGGTGTTTTTCCACCCATACAGACAGACACAACTCAGCAGGCTCTGTCTTCCAACCACAGGCATGGACTTTCAAGGAGACAGAACAATGGCAGGCACTGAGACAAGAAAACTTTCCCCCTGATTTCTCAAAACACACTCCTTACTCAGTTGACACACCCACACTGTTTTGCAAGTATACATGCTCTTGCGCAACGGCAGCCGTGCTGGTTTGTTACAGTGGACACTGGACACTGTTTTCTGTCGTGAAGGAAGTGAGTGGGGAGAGTGTTGAAAACTTGCATGTAGGAAACATAAATCCGAGTGTATCGTCTCTCCGTAGTTTTCCTCTAAGACAGCAAACACTCTACTCACGACCCTTTGTGGACCTTCTGGTTCTCTTAGATTACACACATACACACACACACACACACATTGAAAACAGTGTTAGACACAGACTTAGACACAGTTAGAATACAAGCCAAATGTAGCCGTCCTGAACTGACAGACTGTGTTGAAAGGCTGCCTCCTGGCTCTGGGTCAGCTTGTCTCTAAAGCCATTAAGGCTCATGACGTTTCGTGTCACTGTGTCATGTTTCCTTTTCATGGTCAGTCAGGGCTTCGGCGAGAAATTCTGCCCTTTGGTTCCAGACTGAAAATGTAGTCTCAGGGCCAGCTCTTTCTGTTTTCCCTGTCCATCCATCTTCCCGTGTTTACAACCAGAGATGACTGTGTATTACAGCTTTCTTTGTGTGTTTATGTGTGTTTCAGATGTGTTCCGATTATGAGAAGAGCCTGGTCCAGCCCGCCTACGAGAATCATGGTCTGGGCCCTCGAGCGCTGCCAGAGACCCACCCACTGCTGCAGGACTGGCAGGTGAATGGTTAAGCCATTAGGATGTTAGGTTAGGTGGTGCTTTCTTCTGCCAGAGTGCCTTGATTTGGGTCCTTTTTCACTCCCTTACTTCTCAAATGGGTCACACTGAAGCTTATTAAGGTTTGACAGTGGGGTTGTTGTTGATGAGGAGTAAAGAAAGAAAAGCATATTGGGCATTTTTTCCTTTGTGTGCTTGTTATAAAGTGTGTGTGGAGTACTGTGTGTGCTTGTGTTAACTCACATGCACATGAATACTAATGCATGTCATTCAGTGGTTTCTAGTGAGTGTGACACAAAAAATTTTCAGCTTGTCAAAAAACACACTGCCCACCAAGTTGATGGCAGGTTGTTGACACACTTCCCACTGGCTCCTAGACAACCGAACAGTATGGTTTTCATCAAAATCCATCTATAGTTGTTGTGTGCGTGTGTGTGTGTGTGTGTGTGTGTGTGTGTGTGTGTGTGTGTGTGTGAATGGAGGGGCGGGCGGGATTGAGAGTTATAAAGAGAGTGAGAGAGGGAGCGTGCACTTTCACACACCTATGTGCGAATGCATGCTGAAAGCGAATGCACGTGCATGTGTGTGTCTACGTTAGAAAGAGAGAAAGTAACGATTGCAGAGCTAGTTTTGGGTCGGCAGCCGGGGGAGCCTGTCTAGCCGTGATGAAGTGCCTTGGATCCACATCGTCTTCCCAGGAAGTGTTTTCCAGGTCACAGCAAATAAATCTCACAGGCGGGCATTTATCTTAATGGACACCCCTGTTCTCCTTCTGTCAGGCTGCAAACCACACCATATGGCTGCAGTCCAGAGGGAAGACTTCATCACAGTGCTGCTTAGTCGCACCCATAGATAGACCATACTCATTAAGTCGACTCGGCACATTTAGAGACAATCACACACAGACAGGGATTGGAGCGGGAGATACAGATACTGTAGAAAGAGAAACAGAGAGGGTGGTGCCTGAAGATGCAGAAGGAAGAGCTGTGATAGAAGTGTTCACTAGATGGGTCACTCGAGACAAGAGGTGGTGGAATAGATTCGGGAGGGCGCAGCAGGTGTGTAATGCACTTTAGGTGAAATCACACAGAGAAATAACAGTTTCATTCCCCTTCTGTCTTCAGGCCACCAACACAACAAGGCCTAACGTAGAGGAGGGCATCACTCTGTTCTCCACTCTTCTCAATAACAAGCACTTCCTGATCACGTTTGTCCACGCCTTGGAACAGCAGAAGGACTTTGCTGTGCGAGACAGGTAAATGCATCAACTGATATGTGTTTGGCAGTTATACAAGAAACAGAAAAGGCATACATCCAGATTGACTTTAGATTAAATCAGCAGAATTTATAGATTTACAAGATTTAATTGCACTAAATCCTGAGAAACAATTGTCAGAAATAATTAAATTCAGTGGTTATTTTTTGTTGTAGCAAGGTGTTTGTACTGGATTGAATCATATCGTGAAGCATTTTTAAAGCTGCTACAATGATTATTTTTTTATTAACAACAGATAAAAGGAATACATGTATCTGAAAGGTGTTGCTTCTAGTAACGAAACCACATAGAAATATCACCTCTGCAGTTCTCCTCATCTCTACAGAGCGTTTTACCATCTTTCACCTCATTGTTTTAGTTCATTCATTACCCTTCTTCCCAGCCTCTGAAAATCCACAATATGCTACCCGCACAGGACCGAACAGCAGACAGACAGCAGTAAAAAACACAAGTTAAAAAGTTGATGGGGACCAGTGTCCAAACAAACACTTAATACAGGTTAAATACTTTAACTTTTCTATAATCTATAATCAACTGAACAACCAAAGAAGTAGTCTCAACAAATGAAAGTAAATTATTTTACAGAACCGTAATATTTTTTGTACGGCTGTTGTATTGCATTGTATTACAGTACATTGTATACATGTCTCTATTTTTTCCAGGAGCTTCTTCACTTCTCGTGCTAGGTTTTTCTATATCTACTGCATACAGAACAAAAATATCTTTACTGCTCAGAAAAGTGGTTGCTCCAGCTTTGTAAACATTTGGTCATTTATCAGTGTAGCTGTTTTGGTCCCGATGTCCTAAAACTAGCCAGTCATTGTGGAGAATCAGAGAAAAATTCCAGAGGCAGGACCACATCCCTGTCCCAGCACAGCATCAGCACTTACTGACTGATGCGGCCCCTTTCTTCTGGATTAAAGGGGCTTTGTTAGGGAAATCCCCTGCACCTCTGGACTTACTAACCCAGACACTCCCTGCATTAGATCAGGCCTTTATTTAGCTCTGCAGTCACAGGTGCTGTGGTGAGGACGAAATCTCAGTGTTGTTTGTGTTATGTTGGTATTTTTAAATCACTGACCACACACTGACAGGGCATGTTTGCAAGAGCATGTTTTTACTCATCTGTCTCCCCTGCTAATCTGTTTTCTCACCCTTCAGATGCAGCCTGGCATCTCTGCTCACTATTGCCCTTCATGGTAAGCTGGAGTACTACACCAGTATCATGAAAGATCTGCTGGTGGACCTGATAGACGCTTCGGCTTCCAAGAACCCCAAACTGATGCTGCGCCGCACTGAGTCTGTCGTGGAGAAAATGCTGACCAACTGGATGTCCATCTGCATGTACAGCTACCTCAAGGTGAGGATGGAAAAGGAAGAGCAAAGTTATGAGGCTGGCATGATTAAAAAGATTGACCACTGACTCCACCGCTCTGCCACATTCTTCAGGAAACAGTGGGTGAGCCTTTCTTCCTGCTGCTGTGTGCAATCAAGCAGCAGATCAACAAGGGTTCCATTGACGCCATCACAGGGAAGGCCCGCTACACCCTCAACGAGGAGTGGTTGCTCCGCGAGAATGTTGAGGCCAAGCCACAGGTCTGATACCTCACACACTCTCGGTTCATCTTTCACGTCCTCATTTTTTTTAGAACTGAGAGGTCAATGTCAAACTTCAATTAAGTTGCCTGCCAGGACGTTTCAGTCATGCGTCAATTCAAAACTTCAAAACACATTTTTGCAAAGTATGAACTGTATTGCTCTCTGTTTGTTTTTGCAGAACATCAATGTGTCCTTCCAGGGCTGTGGCATGGACTCACTGTCTGTCAGGGTCATGCATACAGACACAATCTGCCAGGTGAAGGAAAAAATCCTAGAGGCCTTTTATAAAAACCTGCCATTCTCTCAGTGGCCTCGAGCAGAGGATGTAGACCTGGGTAAGAGCACATTTTCTCTGATTATTTTCATCCTTTCCCCTTCCCAACCTTCCGAGATATAGTAATCTCCTTTGCAAAAGGTCAATTCCTCTCATGAAGCTCAACTAACCTGAGGCTGCAATATAATAAATGACAGAATGCATCGAGGAGAGTGTACAGTCATAATCACAAAGAGTTATTGCTTTCAAAAGCTGTGGGGCCTGCAGAGCTGATTTGATTAATCGGCCCAAGAATATTTCCACAGGTCATGACACAGAGAGTTAGAGCACGGGTGCCCTATGTCTCGCATATTCTTTTCCAAATTTAGGATGAAATTGTTTAATATTACTCTCCTCCCTTATCCTGTCTCCTTTTTCTCCTCTCTCCCACATTTCTGTCCTCCAGAGTGGTTTGATTCCGGCAGCAACAGTAAGCTTCTGCAGGACCTGGATAACTCCTCATTGATGGAGGATGGCAGGAAGAAACTCAACACAGTCTTCCATTACCAGGTTTGTGGGTGTGTGTGTGCGTGTGTGGGTGTGTGGGTGTGAGAGAGAGAAAGAGAGACCACTGTGGTGGGTGTTGTCATTGGTGAACCTTTATATCCCTGATATTGTAACAGCAACAGCAGGGTTGTTGAAGGTGAGAAGTCCTTATAAATGGTGTCACTGGCTGTCCATGGGTGGGATACTCTCTATTTCCATGATGTGGCTGTACACAGTTAGTTATAAGTGCTTCTGTTTGTGTTTCTCTTTACGTACATGTCATTTATTGCAGCACAGCTGTAGCCCAGTGGCTGCTTTTATACAGTTTCTGCATTTAGACATACAGTAGTCACTGTGTTTGTGTAATTATTGTATTAATTAGGTACCTTTTTATAACAAGAAATAATTACGGGCAATGTTTAACAACTGTTACAAAATACTGTTATTTTCAAATCAGTAGTTTGATAATTAACAGTAACTATGACAACATACATACTTTATGTGCATGATTCAATCACTGATTACATTTTAATACTTAAAGTTCCCCTCCAGACATGTTTTAAAACATAAAAAAATACTCTGCTTGGAATAATAATTGGCTTGCTTTTTCAACAAAAAAACATCACCTACCTCGTTAAGAATTCTTAAAATGACATCTACTTCTTTTGCCTTATTCACAGAATCTATTAATATGCAAATGTTGTTTATTTCAAGAGGAAAGGGCTCCCGAACTCCTGAATATATGCTCCCAAAAACAAGGTTGCAGGAAGTAGATGTGCTGAGGGGCACCCCCTAAAGTCAGGCATAGTGTAATAAGAACAGTTAAACTTTTGACTTTCTTCTCACTTACTGGGATTTATATGTGTTAGTATTTGTGAAAGAGGTTTAACATTGTTTTGAGCTGCAGTTTATTGTGAATAGGGTAATATGTAAAGAGCCTAATTTCCAATTAAGGCAAGGCAGGTTGGATTTATCCTACGCCAACACAGTGATGTGTTTAAAGGAGATTATTTCAGAGTCAATTGACATTACCAAAGACGACAGGGCAGACAGAGAGTTGAATTCAGCCAGCAACAGGCCATTAGTACCACAGGATGATTTGGTTATAGATATAAATGATGAAATATGGTAACTAGAGGTTGCTCTCCTTTTTTGAGGTTTGGCAGAGGATTAATTTGTCCCATAGCATTTAGAATGACATCATTAGACTGGGTTTCTCTCAGCTTTGACAGATTTCCAGCGTCCCTGCCCAAAAAGATTATTTATTAGGTAGAATTACAATGTATTACGTCTTTCTCAGGTAATATGAATATGACAATTACATCGTAATTGTGCTAATAAGCATGTAGTCATTAACCAGTCATCACTTACATATTTGTTAAATGTACTTTATTATATGTTACTATAATAATAATAATATTAATAATAATATGCATACAAACACATTCATTATTAGAAATACATTAATTAAAGTACATCATATAATTTTTTTTAATAATTAAGGAAATTAAATAATTATCAATAACATTTGCAATAAATATATTGTAATGAAATAAACATTTGTTTTTAACAATAAAATAAAAATACAATATAAAGTGTTTTTTGTGTAGTACCTTTTCTTTTATAATAATTACAATAAATAACCCAAAAACAAGTAAAATGCCACGTCTGGTATTCCATTAAGAATATCTTTATGTATATGTGTGTTTGCTCATGTCTACATTCATTTGTACGTGAGTAAACAGTTGTTCAGTGACCCTCGACCTTTGACCCTGTATCTGTACTTGTTAAGTGCCATGTTTAGTTTTTGCTGAGCCATGGGGACAGAGCTGTGAAAGCAGCGAGCTGCAGCGTGTACTAACAGTCTGGGTTCACTGGCGAGGCTGTTCAATCCATTTCACCGCGGGTTGACTTTAATGAGCCCAGCCAGGCTCTTGCAGACTTGCCACCAGTCTAGATGCACACAAGATTGACACACACGCACACACAACAACATATGCACCTCTCAACGCCCCACTCCCCTCGAGGGCATGCTTAATGATGCTGTTCTTGTGCCCCCAAGCTCACCCTTGACCCTGTGCCCTCTGTCCTCTCTCGTCTTCCCTACCTCCTTCCCTCCTTCTTCTTCTCTCCCTTCACAGATCCCAGAGGGGGCATCACTGGCTATGAGCTTGAAAGACAAGAAAGAGAACACACTGGGGAGAGGTACGTCACCATCAAACACACCTACTCCTTGTCGCTTTGTCACACACACTCACCCACACTTGGGTAAATACACACACTCACTCCATCACAGGAAACAGCACATGCTCAGTTGGTCACGAGAACACGATACGCTCATGTAAACACGCATGAAATCACACACCCTCCCGTCCCCAAAAGACACAGCGGACATCTAAAAACACTCGCACCTAATAAATCACAACACATACTTTCCGCTACTGCTTCATTCAGAGCTCTTTTTCTCTGTTATAGATGTATTCCATTAGCAAATGTCAGCTTGTGGGGAAAAAAATGCGACACAAGTTGGGCCATTGTCCATTGAATATAATGACTTCTCTGCCTGTTGACAGATGAGTTTACATACAGCCTTTAATGGGCTTGTCCGTTCGTTGTCTTGGGTCTACCTTACATAATCAGTACCAGACCAGAGCTCAGTTCTGCTAAGGCTCTGTCCATCAAAGTCTCTCCTCTCATTCATACTGGGCCAAAAATAGGCTTATGTGAACGAAACCTGGCTCTGGCTTCAAAGCATCGAGGGGGTGTTATGAGCTTGTAGTGCTCCCTGGCTAATATAAAACACTGTCCTGTCTGCCTGTGATCAGTGTTGAGGGTCTGGACTGAAGCCCGCTGGGCAGGAGCATCTCTGGCAGAGCAGGCAATAATGAGAACACACTCACTATGCTGTTGTGTTTGTGTGTGTGTGTGTGTGTGTGTGTGTGTGTGTGTGTGTGTGTGTGTGTGTGTGTGTATCGGCACAAATGCCTGTCTTTGTTTTTGTTGGTGTGTGTACAATAATTTACTGTATCTGTTTGTCTTTGTGTCTGCTTTGAGTTTGTGTTTGCGTCTACATGTATTTGGGTATTGATACATGTTCATGCATGTGTATGTGTGAGTGTGTTTGTGTTTAGATCTATATATAAACCAGCAAGGTTTAATGCTCTTTCCCAGCGCTGGCCGAGCATTACCATCTCATTACACCGGCTCCAGAACCAATCACAGACTCTGTGTGTCTGTCTCCCTTAATCTCTCTCTTTTCTCTCTCCTTTCACTCGTAATCTTTCTCTTTCATTCTCTCAGACAGTTCCCCTCCCCTACCTGCCCACCGTCCACCTTAATCACTTTCTCCTCTCGCATGTACTCTATCTCCCTTGCTCTCCTGTCAATCTCCCTCTTCTGTTTTTTTTTCTCTCGCCTATCTGTCACGCTCCTCTGTCCTCCCTCCTCCTGTCTCCTCTCATTCTCTCAGGTCTCCACCTTGCTGATTGCACATTGTTTCATGCTGTATGTGTTTCTTTTTCCCCTTAGTTAAAGATCTGGATACAGAGAAGTATGTACACTTGGTGAGTAACTCTTCATAGGTAATCAGAATGTTTCTATAAGTGCGCTCTGAGTTTATTACCAGAGCTTTTCCTGTGTGTGCCACTGTTAGTCAGCCCAAAACGGGCCTGACGACAGAGAGAATGGGGGTGAATGGAGGTGAAAAGGAAAGCTGCTGAGAGGACATGACAGCACTAATGCAGCTTAAGCTCTTTTATAAACGTCAGCCAAGATATGGGCCCTTTGACTTTAGAATAATGAGTTCCTTGGAACACAATTTGCCGGGTGAATAGTTAGTTTTACAGGACAGTTCTATAGTCCTTTTTTGACACAAGTAGGTGGATTCTGACTGCTTCTTTCTTTACCCTACCCCTATTTAGACCTGTATGAGGAAGTCAGATACATGATCCTGTACACAACTACCAGAGAAAACTATAAACATTTCCCAACTCCCATCACTTCCTCAATTCTGTAAATGAATTAGTGTTTCAAAATACCCTGATGTGGTTTCTGGGTCATGTATCTAATGCAAGAAACAGAAAATTCCCATGTGTCAACTGAGACAGCAAAGCCTTCGTGTAACTACTTATGACCAGGATTTATTACTTTATGTAGTTTGTTGATGTTTGGCCTCTGGTTTTCCAGGTCCCACCTCATGATGAGCAAATGGAGAACAAGAAGTCACACAGGCAGAGCCACCGCAAGAAGGTCCTTCCTGAAATCTATCTGACGCGCCTGCTGTCCACCAAGGTAAACACAAGAAACAAGAGACTGTTTTCTCAACACTACAAAGTTACAACTTGATATCTAAGTAATCTTTCTATTTCTTGTTTTTATGGGCCATATTAGCCTCAAGAGCTGTCTAGAAATTCCCACATCCCATGAAGCCCTGTTTCTGCGTATGTATAAGCTTGTTTTTTTCTTTTCCTCCACAGGGAACTCTTCAGAAGTTCTTGGATGACCTCTTTCAAGCCATCCTCAGCATCCCTCCGGACCGGCCCCCTCTGGCTGTCAAATACTTCTTTGACTTCTTGGAGGAGCAGGCTGACAAACGGGGCATCACAGACCCAGACACACTGCACATCTGGAAAACCAACAGGTAGACTAAACTCTGTGATTACACTCCCCTTTGGCGACCTCACTGTGCAAGTGCAAGGCTTTAAAAGCTTATCTTTCCCTCTCCGTGCAGTTTACCTCTGCGTTTCTGGGTGAACATCCTGAAGAATCCTCAGTTTGTGTTTGACATTGATAAGACAGATCACATGGACGCCTGTCTGTCTGTCATTGCCCAGGCCTTCATAGATGCCTGCTCCATTTCTGACCTGCAGCTTGGCAAGGTGAGATCCATCTATCTATCTATCTATCTATCTATCTATCTATCTATCTATCTATCTATCTATCTATCTATCTATCTATCTATCTATCTATCTATCTATCTATCTATCTATCTATCTATCTATCTATCTATTTTGAAAGTCTGACACTGAAGTATGTGTATAAGGTCTGAGTGTTAAGATTGGCCTGAGTTATGACTCTGAGCAGGACTACAAATTTTGTCCTTTTCACCTCACTCCCTCCACACCCCTGAAAAAGCATGCCTCACAGTTTGAAAACCTCTGACCTACTGTACCTGTGTATCATAGCTACTTAATAACTGATTAAACCTGATTAAATAATGGCTATATATCTACATATATGTCTATGTATCTATCTAACACACACACACACACACACCTCTCGAGTCCCCCTGTGAACCCTTATCCCTAAGCCTTCAGACTGTCAGCTCCATCTACCTCTCCTCATGTTATTTCAGCCGAGTCGACTGATCCAAGGTCATGAGCACCAGGGATCTCTTTTTGTGCTGTGCACGAGTATGTGTGTGTGTGTGTGTGTGTGTGTGTGTGTGTGTGTGTGTGTTCAGGCGTGCATATGTCTGTCTGTCCGTCTGTCTGTCTGTCTGTCTGTCTGTCTGTGTGTGTGTGTGTGTGTGTGTGTGTGTGTGTGTGCGCTTGCATGTCAATGTCCTCACTGCTCACAAATCCGTCTCATCCCTCAGACACCGTGACCCTGAGCACGCTCTGCTTCCTGTCTCCCTCTGACTGGCTTCCTCCCTGGAGGGAGCCGAGGACTCATCAAATAATGCTCCCCTTTCACTGAGAAACAGTCTGATTTATATATTTCAGTTCAGTGCCAAAGAGTGCACTCACGGCAGCAATATTCAGATGTATATGCAGGCAGGTACATACCTACTGTGTTGATGCAAAGATATGTATAAACCATCAGCAATGAGACATTTTTCGCATTGTGTCTGCAGCCTCCTCATTAACATGCCGCATCTGGCTGTGCATGTATTGTAGAGTCACCAGGTTCAAGGATATGGCCACGTTTTCTCCTGTAGGTCAAGGAGACTAGCACGACACACTTTTACATTTTCCTCGAGTATTTACAGTCGCTTGTTTGAGCATGTGCATGATCGTGTGTGATGGCCTCGGGACAGGGCAGTGAAGGGTACAGGGTCTGGATTAGCAGTAGCATAGCAGGGGTTGGAGAGAGGGGTAGGAAATGAAGCAGCGCTCGCTGTTTCCACGGAAACCCTCTTATCTGGCGAGATGCAGACATAGAGGGCCACAGGGTCACACGGGGGTTACCAGGCAGATGGGCGAACAGCAGGAAGTGACCTTGTGGACAGGAAGAGAGAGGGTTCCCTATCAGAAGGAGCAACCGTGGCTCCCTTAGCACCTTTAACACACACAAACATGCACAAACATGCAAACAATCATATTAGGTGACACAAATAACTCGTGACACATAGAAATATTAAGGTGCGCTGTAAGCACATTCACTAATGCTGAGAGCTGAGGCTGGCTGCCTATTTTTCCCTGTCCTACTTTCTCCCTGTCCCTCTTTCTCTCGCTCATACACACACACAGCTCACAAAGACCTACACACACTCACTCGCAACAGTAGTCACCACTAAAACCAGAGTATGCCCACAACCTCTTAGCCCCGCTACTTTTCTTCCTGCTTGAATAAGCACCAGTGCGAGAGCCTGAAGTGACTGTGGAGAGAGTGGCAGAGGTATTGTTTGGACTGGAATGTTCCTTCTCTGGCTCTCAGTTTTTGAGTCTCCTGTTGTCTGGAAAGGAAACTGTTTCCTCCCCCCATTGTCTCACTATAGGCTGGTTTAGATTGGGTCTTCAACAAACAACATCCAGTCCAACTGAACAGCTCCTTATTAGGACATTAGCATGTGGTTGCAGACCATACAATAATCGACAAACCTCTTCATGAAAACTGAGGCCCAGTGCTAAATTATTAATTAACCCTCTGCAGGGCTTTAAATTTTGACATCGTGCCACATATGGAGCCTGGCAGCGGTTCAGGCAGGCACCGGAGTTGTTTTATAGTCACATGTTCTATACAACCTCCAGTCATGTCGACAACTGCAACAATGCTGAGCTTTGCCTCCTTGCTGCTAGATTGCTTACAGCCCCTCCTGTTTTAGCCTCCAGCTGTACATGAATGTTGAACGTTTTTAACATGTGGCAAGCTTGTTCGCACTGCCAAACTAAAATGCATATTGCTGCAATCAAGGGATAAAATAGACCTGACTGAAATGTGTTGGGTTTTTTATTTCAGGACTCCCCTACCAACAAGCTGCTGTATGCCAAGGAAATCCCTGAGTATAAGAAGAGAGTGCAGTGCTACTACCAGCAGATACAGGAAATGCCACCTCTCAGCGAGCAGGAGATGAATGCTCACCTGGCTGAGGAGTCACGAGTGAGTCAAGTGTTCAGGAAGTTTCCATGTGTTAGTCATCTGGAGCAACAAAAGCGTGCAATTACATGCAAGATTTATTTAGGGATTAAATCTAATATACATAATGTCTGTTCTCTATCCTGTAGAAATACAGAAATGAATTCAACACCAACCTGGCCTTGACAGAAATCTACAAATACGCCAAGAGATACAGAAACCAGGTAAGAAAAGAGTTTTTACTTCACTCTGTGATCTCAGATTCGATTAGATATGTCGCTCGTGTTTGAACAGGCCCCTTTCTGCAGCCACTACATCACTGAGGTCACCTCAGTCAAACCCTTTGGCTGTTTTAAGTTTCACAGATGGGTATCAGAGCGTGACACATCAGCGTGGAAGATCATGTGCGTGTTGAGAGATGTAGCACACTGTCAACAACAACCTGTCTCTCAATGTCCTCAAATATATGCACGAAATAAAAATTTCATCCCAAGAAATGAATCAAATCTGAACTCTCTTTTCAGCAGCAGCCACCATTTAATGTGTCCAATCAAGCCCACATATACCTTTCACTTTAAGCAGATAATGCACTGTTTACCTTCTCTTTATCCACCACCCCTATCTTTTTAATGACACTCTTAAGTTGCTGCTTCATATCTCCCGTTTCTCTTTGAACTAGCCCTCTTAAAGCCTTGCTGTCCTCCCCCATGTTTCCTTGCTGCTGTGACTATTCTCAGGAGAGGCTTAGTCAGTGGTGACTGTGCCTTAATGGAGCACCCTCATGATAATACAGTTTAGCTGCTTTCCACTGTCATGCTACTGTACTGACGTGGGCCAGAGGCTTAGACTCTGATTCACAGAGCTCTGTGAATGGCCCCTGATTGCCTATTCTCTCGCCCCAGCTCGGTTCGCTCTGCCTGGTAGCACACTGCCGCTAAGAGCCCATAAATCCCACTGACACGGTGACAACTATTGGGCATGAATAACAGAGCAGATGTGGGTTTTGTAAATATGTGAAGAGCAAAGAGCTTTTGTGGTGTGGAGGCATGCATGCAGGCTGGAGAAGAGGCTGAAGCACTGCAGTTGTTCCTCCGCTGCTCTCCCTTTTCTCTCTCATTCAACTTTCTATGTCCAGGCAGGTGGCTGATTTCCTCCTCCTCCTTAATAGATAGATGCATGAATGCTCGACAGCCGCTGAAAGTCATCTTTGTTGTGTTTTTCTTCAGGTGGTGAGCGCTCTGGAGTCTAACCCCACCGCACGTCGCACTCAGCTGCACCACAAGTTCGAGCAGGTCATTGCCCTTGTGGAGGACAACATCTACGAGTGCTGCAGTGAAGCCTGAACCTGCCAGTGTCTTTTCTACTAGCCATCTCTTTCTCCTGCTGACAGCTGCCTTTCTCCTACCTACATAATTACTTGGGAATGTCGGCCACTTAAGAGTTAGCCTTCATAAGTGTCATTCTTCCCACAGACTGTAAGAAGCGTGAAAAGTGGCAGAGCAATGGACTTTAACCTGCCTCTCAAGCGTCATGCATTTTGCGAGGTGTTCCTCCTCTGATCTGGGAATGCCAAGCAATTTTCCCAAATCTTTCCCTATGACATGGACAGAATTACAGTCTGGCTCAGCTATGCTTTAGAGGGAAGGTTTAGGAGCTTGGGGATGAGGCTTTTTCTGGATGTCTTTACAATTACTGGGACCTACAGTAAGCCCTGGTGGCAAATTTAACGCACTGAACCCTTTTCTTAAGGGAACGAGCCAATGATGCACTGTACTGTATTATAATGTCCATAGCAATATTTATAGATGTGTTATAATGCTCTCAAGTGGCCTGTTCGTCAGGATGAGTAGGAAGGACTGCGATGAACTCCTCCCATCTCCTAAAGCCTGCAACGTTCTCAGGTGTGACTGGTGAAGATGGGTGACTGGCGCTCATCGGTGCTTTGAACAATACGTCCCAATGTGCTTTGCGGGTTGATGATGGGTTGAGGAGGAGTGGAGAGGAGAATATAAATGACTGAAATTTATGAAATCAGATGTAATGTAGTTCACTGGGAAGAGCTGCATCCGTATAGAAGTGTTGATCAGTGTGCTTGTAAACGAATGAATTTCTTGTTGGATTCTGACCAATTTAAAAGAGGGAAATTTACCATTATGAGGAAAAAATGTGAGCTCAATATAATCTGAGGAGAGACTGTATTTGTGATGCCAAATGACTTGTCAGAGTTTGTGAAATAAATTGCAGTATTTAGGACTTAAAAATGTCAAACGATGACCATGTTTATTGTATGAAGTCTAAAAGTGTTTCATTTCTAAATGCATTTCATAGAATAGCAAAATTTAACAACATTTGAAAACTATTAAGATCTTGGCCCGCCACCCAAAAGCCCACAAACAAGCATCTGGAACTTCTCAAAAAAGCCTTGTAAAGGTTCTCATGAAAAAGCAAGTGAAGGAAAAGTCGTGCAGACATTTAGCTTTGTTTTTATTGCAGGACACAAAACAACTTCCACAACATCCTAGCCTTTACACGATTAACAAAATAATATCTCTTTAATACACACACTGACATTCTGACATCCATTCAAACATAACATAAACATCTACCCCCCCTCCCACACACACACACACACACACACACACACACACACACACACACACACACACACACACACACACACACACACACACACACACACACACACACACAAAAACACACACACAAAAACACACACACACACACACACACACACACACACAAAAACACACACACAAACACATCCACTCTCTTGCAGGAGGCGCCTTATCCCTGCAGAGGCCCTTTTCAGGTCCATCTGTTTACACTCATGTCTCAGTCTATGCCAAAAGCAAACTAACAACCTCAGCTTTGTCACCATAAAGACAAGAGGAGAGACAGAGAGACCAGAGGACAGCCCCGTCTGATACTTCAAAAACTCATCCGAGATATATCTAATTAATATTCATGTCTCATTTCACCTAAGTATTCATTAAATGGATTGTTCAAAGCGCGTTTCGGGGATATATAGCTGCAACAATTACTTAAAAAAGAGCTGACGTGGATGAAATCATGTAGTGTGGTTTGCTGAATTAGGTTTCACCTATTATGTGTTTTGGGTATTTTGGATAGTGGGGAGTTTGGAATGTGTTCAGTTGGATCACATGGACAACACCCCCTTGGTGCCGGGTTAAACTCCAGCTGAACACTTTCCATGATGAAATGGATTGAAAAAACGCATGCTGGCTCTTCAGTATGTCAGACCCAGCAAAGGTGCGGTTGTGTCACTGCAGTGAAGACACATGGAGAGGTAAGTCAAGAGGATTGGCCAATAGAACGTTGTGCTGCTTGGCGGTGGTGGGTCCCTAGGTGTGCAGGGACAGATGGGACTTTGAAGGGGGGACGAGGGGGTACAGGTCAAGCGGGGGCCACCTGGCTGGAGGAGACGGATGAAGTCTGAGTTTTGGAGACGGTGGCGGCGGCGGCCTCGTCGTCTCCAAACGGGTTTTTTCCACAGCACACCGTGGTGATCATGCAATTTCTGAACTGGAGACCAAAAACAACATCAGAATCACAGTTATGATACAACTTCACTGGAGTGGAAGGAGTATTCAGATCCTTTGCTAAAGTAAAAGTACCAATAAACTAATGTTGCTTTTACATTACAACTGAAAGTCCAGCTTTTAAGCCTGTATTGATCTCAGAAGGGGAAATTCAGCAGCACAGGGACAGAAATAAGTACAGATAAATAGAAAAAAGTACTGAGAAAAAACAAGTCAAATATATTAAATAAAATAGAAACAATACAAGAGTATTTAAAGCCAAAATGAAAGTAAAAGAACATGTTATTATTAATATTATTATAATAATATACAGTATGACATTATTAAACTGTAAATACTGATGCAACAATACATGAGCAATAGTTGGTTGAGGTGGAGCAAGTTTAATTACTTTATACACAGTTAGTTGGCCACTGGTTTCCAACCCACATGTTGGGCACAAGATAAACCTGAGGGGTTGTGAAATGATTAATTTATTCTTAAAAAATAAAATAATAATAATAAAAATTGGTAACCACCAATCTTATCTCAAATCTTTTTTTGTGAAGTTTTTTGTGCATTGAACAGTTATTTGAATCAACCCATGTGAGAAGTTTAAAGGGGAAATGTCTCTTCGGTGGAACGGCTAAAAACTCTTAATCTGAAATGTGACAAGGGTAGAGTGGAAGTATAAAGTAGCATAAAATGGAAATACTCAAATAAGGTACCTCAAAATTCTACTTAAGTACAGAAACACAAAAAATAACCAAAGCAGATATTTGCGTCACATACCTGTTTGTTTAGCAGAATGTAGATGACTGGGTTGTACAGAGCAGCACTCTTGGCGAAAAAGGCTGGAGCGGTCATGAATACCGGCCCGAACTCAGTTCCCTGATTGACAAAGATGTACCAGGCCACGGTGGCATAGGGCACCCAGCACACCAGGAAGGAGACCACCATAACGATAACCATACGTGTCACCTCTTTCTCCGCTCTCTGGGTGGTTTCAGACTCCTGCTGCTGGGCTGCAGCCTGAGCACAGACAGAAGGAGGTTATTAACTTATTCAAGGACTAATCTGTGATCCAAATGTAAACAATCACCACAAGTGAAAAACACAAGATTAGAAAAGCAAACTGACTGATGGGGTTTTTTAAATAAGACTTTAATAAGACTAACACTAGAAAACAGTGAAATCTACAGTTAATTAGTCATGTTTTCTCATGCTGTTGAAGATTTGTTTACATCTGTAATGGTTTCAAACAGACAGCAGTAAAACAAACGTATCAAGCTAATTGTTCATGATTGAATCAAACTCTCCAATTATATATGCAAATATGTCTGTAATTTATGAGTCAAATTACGGATTGAGCCTTTAAGAACATAAAGGCCAGTGTTTTATCACATTTTTTTTGGCCACGTAGGGGAAGCAGAAACAGGCTGTGTCTGACATATGATCACCTTTTAAATAGATCTTGTGAATGTCTTAGCAAACAGTTGCTTATATACACACAGAGCAGTAGCAGCCTTGTCATTCATTTGGGCTTGTCTTTCTGTCCAGCTGGAGAATGTCCAATATTCACTCTCTTTTTAGCTATTTTCTGTCTCCACTAGCCCCAGTTTGTGCATCCATTCAGTCAAAGAGGTAACCATTCTGCTCTGTATGCTAATAACTCGGGCTTGGACTCCACCAACTCCCGAGGGAGATATCTGGTTCTTTAACTGCTTTAGCTGCACTATGTTCACCAGCTAGTCACTAACTTTGTCTGTCTGCTGTTTGGTGCTGAGCAGGCAGTGTGTACAGTTCTGTTTTTTTTTTTTTTTTTTTTTTGCTGAAAACAGCTGCCCATAGCTGAGGCTATGGGAGTTGTGAGAGTGAACCAGATATTAAGGCTGACAGCTAAACAAAGAACTGAAACTTGCTATAAAGCTGCAGATTCAGGTGATAATTCTCTGTAGATTAGACTCTGTTTGACACATTGTTAGCAGTGGAGGAGGAAGCATTCATATCCTTCACATAATAGAAGTAAACTTAGTACTAAATGTACTAACCCTAACACTAACACTCCAGCACTGATTCTAAAATGATCAATTATAGCTGTTTTAATGAAAATTCAGTATTATTTTTTTTACTATTTATGAACACTAATAGATTATCAATGTAAAACTATTATTAATAAGGTCACAGTGAGCAGGCAGACTGCCCTCCAGCTTGAGGACCTGGGTATAAGCTGCCATGTTGGCAATGATCTGCCCTCCTGCAGTGTCCTTGAGCCATTAAATCCCTCGCATCTCTAGAGATTCTGCTGTGATGCTGCTAACCTCCCAAAAGGTAAAAAAAATAAAATAAATAAATAAAAAAGAGAATTTTTCTACAGAGACAAACAAGGTATCACATCCTTATTATTAATACTGCATCTGGCAGTGGTGTCCTTACCGCTCGCACAGTGCAGAGCAGGCGACTGTAGCAGAAGAAAATGATGAAGAGGGGGATACAGAAATGGAGGACGAACATATAGATGACAAATGAGGTGTTGTTGATCTCGGGCTTAGGAGTGTAGTAGTCAATCCCACAGGAACACTGCATTCCCTCTGGGATGTACCTGCATCCACACATACAATAATAATCTTAAAAATTTCCATCAACACCATCACACTCAGTATTTGATTCTAGATATGTGTCTTTGAGTAAGTGTTCTGCAAGTAAATAATCTCTAAGGTGCTTTAGTGTGCAAGTGATCAGAATAATATGTGTATTGTTTTGAAACCTGGCAAGCACAGTCTAAACACAGAAACATACAGTACCGAGACCATCCAAATAGAGGGGGAGCAGCACAGGTCAGGGCCATGATCCATGTGAATGCCAGCCCAGCAATGGCATGTTTCTCCCCAAAGCGGAAGTTAGTCATTGGCTTACAGACCACAACGTAGCGCTCAATAGCCAAAACCACCAAAGACCAGAGAGCAATCTCTCCTGAGACATGAAATAAAGCAAGTGTAAATTTAAACAGCACTTGATATTAAACACAGACATGGTATTTAGGAGCACAAGTAAAATATTGCCAATAATGAAATTGACATACTAGGGACATTTATATGATCTAAAAAAAAGCATTTTAATACACAAGAGAAATGTGTTCCTCATGTCTTACCTCCTAAGGTGGCAAAGAATCCTTCAATATTGCAGCCGGTGACCCCTAAGATGAAGTATCCGTGCAGGGCTGTGTACAGGGTGACTGTGAATCCTCCGATTACCATGAAGAGGTCGGCCACCGCCAGGTTGAGCAGGACGTAGTTCAAAGGGGTCCTTAGCTTTTTGTGTTTGACAGTGACATGGAGAGTGAGGAAGTTGATGGGGAAGGCAGTGGTGATGAGGAACAGCATGTACGCAGCCACAAGAGAGTACTTCCAGGGCTCAGCCAGGTAGTACTGAGGGTGCTCAAATGGGCTGCGAACCAACCCAGTCTTGTTAGACATGGGGACATAAAAGTTGGGTCCTTCTGTGCCATTCATGGCTGCAGCTGGTGATGTTTTTTTTCTTCTTCTGAGACCTTGACACTCGATAAAACAGCCTGTGCGTCTTCTTAGAATAAAATACTGTGAGGGAGTCTTGTCATGAAGTTGTAGTGAGAATGGGGGAGAAAGGATGGCTGAAGGGATGGATCTTGTGGAACTAAGATGTTCTCTGCAGCCCCCTGAAGTGATGCGGCACCTTTTAACAGGCCGATCGGATTAGGGACGTGCATGGAGCAGTGTTTTAGCAGAGGTGGAATTAAGACACTCAATCTCCCTCTCTCTCTCACACACACACACGCACACACAGTCACACACATAAAGCAATAAAGAAGAAAACTCCAGAAATAGCTATGTAGTATGTTCAGCATTTTCAAGGTGAGAGGTTACAGTCGTGGCAACCCGAACTCCATCATTACTGTCATGTGCATCAATGCATCATCAGAATAAGATGAGAGCAGAGAGTGGGAGGAAGGGCAAAGAGGGAACCAGTCTATTTGTGATTTAAACCGTTCAGAGTGGACAAACGACAAAATGAAATTTCTTGAGCAATTCAACTTATTTGCATCCGCGAAAGCCTAATCCCTAACCACTGCATAATGCAGAGCTCAACTCATAGCCGTAAGTGTACTCAGAATCAGTGGGGCATACCGCTCACAGCATGCACTTTTCCAGCTCTCTCTTTCACAGACACAAATCCTAAAGTTCAATCTGCAAGAGTAAAAAGTTAATGTTACTCCAGTTGTCTTTGTAACATCATTAAGAAAACCCACGGTCATAAAAAATACCAAAACATTTTATTGAAAAGGCCTTTTTTCCATTTGTAATGATATAAAAAATACATTCTCATGACTAAATGTCCCGTACTGTTATAAAACATACAGTATTCAGCATGTAAGCCTGTGAAATCTTGTTGGCAGATGTCTCTGGTCTTTGTGAATAATAAAATCATCAACAAATGTGTTTTCAATTAGGTTAAAATAGTGTTTTTTTTTAAATAAATGTGTTATTATAGCAATATTGTTTTTACACTGTACACCCCTGTTCCCTTTAAAGTGATGATGTAGTGATGATGTTATCAGTGACAGCCCAAGGTAATCTGATCCTAATAAATCTAATTGGGTTGATTGGCTGATGGTGCACTTTTAATGACCACTCTATAATGATAAACACACACACTACAGGTATTACTGCTCTTGAGTTCGAGGAATAGCAGGTAACACATTCACATTAACTTGACAATAAACAGATGTCTATGTATATTACAGTGACAATGATATTACAATGTAAAAGAACAAAGACAAAATGTCGGAAAGGACAAAAAGATTATCTTGAGGGTACAAAAATTTAAATGTTTAAAATAGCTGCTCTAGTACATCAGTTTGGTTCATCGATGGGTCTGCGACAGTAAGGACAGCAGTTGTGCTGAAGCACCAGGAGTTCATAGTCTTCACTGTGAAACATCTACGAGGAAATACAAAGATAGCAAAATTAGAACGGCCCAGAAAAAACAGATCTGAAAATAAATGTTATCTATAGAGGGCGTGCAACAACAACAAAAAACCTCACATAAAACAGTGTTAGTGACAGAGAGAAAGAAGAAAGACAGAAAAACACACCAGGTTACACAAGCCCTGGGTCTTATAAATGCTATACCTTGAAGCAGGTGGGGCACATGGTGATGCTCACATCAGGCAGCAGGGAGCGGAAGTATTCCCATTTGAGCGGCCTGGGCCAGCGTTTGATCAGGACGTCCCTCCTGCTCATTGAGCGCAGCACCAAGCGACTCACCTTGACTGGGACAAAGTTCGAACCCCCCTGCTGTTTGGACACACACAGGAACACATCCACATTCTATTATGGACCCTGTCCTTTCACCCTCTCCAGCTGGTTTGCCCAGTTGGTGGAATATTAATCGCCTCATCTTCTCTGTCCTTTCTTACCTCAAAGCTCATTTTGGCAGTAAATGGGTCTTCCTCTGCATCATCAAAACCATCATCCATCCTCAAAGACTGCAGCTCTGATTAGCGTTCATTAAGAACAGATAGCTCATGTATGTTATGTATGTTTTCTGTAATTATATATTTTCAAGACAGGAAAACCCCTTTTATTATCCCTCAGAAAATTATTCTGAAAGTGAGAGTGTTTCAAATGCCAATCAGTCGTGCCTGTCAGTCACATCGTGGGTCTGAAGTAACAGAGCAGACCTCAGTGCCCTTGAGTGTCTGCCGGCTAATGCAGGTTAATCCCTGCACTAGGGCTGTGGCTACGGCTCTCCGAGGGTTAGTGTCATTAAGATGAGACAGGAGAGCCTCTCTAACCCTATTAGCTCAAGAGCTAAGATGACTTAGCTCTGACAGCTTACCCACTAGCGCAGAATCGAGGCCAACGCAGACTAAACAGCTTCTTAGAACTGTCACAAGGCGGAGGGGAGTCACGTGCTTCATTTGGAAGAGATGTGCAGTGTGTTAGGGCAGACACTCAGGACCAGCAGAGTGGGGAGTTAATAATTTACACAAAGCTTGTGAATCATACGTGACTCTGTGTATGTGTGTGTATTTGTGTGTAGTTACATTGTGTGGATGACCAAAGGATACCACCATTGTCCATATCGTGCCAGCGCCCATCCCTCTGATCCGTGTGAGGAACTTCTAGGTCAATCAGAGACACAGCCTCTTCATCACTGATGCCCTCATCCAGGTAGAACTGCACCAAAGGCAACACCTCTGTATACAAGGAGAAATGCTACATTAAAAACACAAACAGAGTCTTCTCCGTGCAAATACTGCGTTCAATCTGTCTCTGTATCACTGACCGTATGATGAAGCCGAGTAGATGAAAGGCTGCCTGCAGTTGATGCACACGCTGCCCTGGTTGTTCAGCAGGGGGTTGTTTGTGGAGCAGCGGTAGCACATCATGCCCTCAATCAGATCCTGCAGGAAACACACGGAAGTTAAACATATACATTCATGAACACAGAGCAGGGATAACTCTAATGTTTATGAACAATATTTCAGAACATGTACAACAAATATAACAGCATGTACATGCCAACTCCTAAACACACCTCGCTGTCGTGAAACGGTTTGGCGCGAACGGTGAGGCTGCCCAGTTCTATGGACTCCTGGAAGCGGGAGGGAATGTGCAGCTCCTGGAGTTTCTCGTACGAATACCTGGCAAGTTTATATGCACCCAGTTTTTGACTCTGCTTGGCCAACGCATACAAGGTGTTACTAAGAATCAGGTCAAGGAAAATAAATGTAAGAGGAATAGCTGGCAGTCTAAATATAGTTTCACGGGGACATTGATTTCTAAATGTGTTATTCAAAAATAGTTACCTTTTATCTGGAAAAGCACTTGTGTGTATTTATAAATAGGTATAATAAATATACAATAATGGTATATTCCCTCATTTCTCTTAATGAGCTGTTAAGAGCTGTGCTGAGGCAGCAACACTGGCTAAATGCCTCAAAAGTAATACCTTGGTAAGGTTGTTTGTGGGCTTGTGTGTGCTTATACAGGCCTATGTGCCTGTTTTTGCGTTTGAGTTGAGGAAATTGTTGCTTATTTGTATTTATATGGAGACAGATTGTTAAGAGAGCTACTCTGAGAGTGGCAATGACAGGTCAATGAGTTGCAGCTGCAGCAGCTCAACACTGGCACTCCTCCATAACCTAAAACTTAACACTACTCCTCTCCTTTCCTCTCCACTCAGCTGCTCTCCCGCTCCTCCCACACACCCAGTTCTGTTCCACGGCTGGGACTGTTGATAAATGCGTGTCCTCCTATTGTGTAGCTTGCTTAGTGCAGCCTTTCTGTGACATTGTGTTCAATTGTTCATATCAATTCCAATGCAGCCCAGCGAAGTCTATAAATCTAAGTTCAAAGTTTTTGGAACACCTCAGTTTGGCCACAGAGGATCCCAGCTGCTCAGCTTGACTTCCTCCTCAAAGGCTGGGCTTTCCTTCCTCACACTCTGACTCCATGTGACCACATGGATGTGTCTGTGCGGCTGTGGGTGGCTTTGTGTGTGTATTTTTTCAAATTAAAGCACATTGTTGAGTGTGTTTATATCTGTACGTGTGTGCACAAAGTTCAATAATCAAAGCATTTTTGTTTAGATAACGGAGAATGTGCCTCTTGCTGGCATCGTCTCCTCCCCATCATCACCCCTTTTATTTCTCTCAGCAGCAGCATGTTTTCCGCAGTGGCGCCAACTCTTCCGTTTTCTCTCTACTTCTAATGCTTTTCCACCACTTTATCATCACTGTCTCTGCCAGTCTTGATTTCAGATTGGCATGTCTGTTCTTGAGAGTTTCCCAGAGAGGAAGGGCCACACAGTACTTTATTCTAAAAATATTTACTTGATATCTTACAATATGTTTGGTCTACTTTCTCAAATGGAAGGATACACTTTAGATATGCCAGGTGGTATGTCCTTGGTGAGGTTGTTCAGGAGAAACCTGCAGATGTTGAAGAGTGTCTCTGGCATGTGGGAGCTGAAGGGCTCATCCTGAAGATAGAAACAGTTAAATAAAACAGTTAAGTGAAAATAGAAATCTCTGATAAACTAATTGCGGGTTTTACACTCTCCGACTCCCCTTCTAAACTATTTCTTTTAACCTGGTCTAAAAGTAGCCTAACCCTTTGCAGCTCCTCATCCCACCTCACAGCGCCCTGAAAGGAAAAGAAGAATTTGCGAATCCAATCACTAACAGCACCTTATCCCAAAAAGTTGATAGTTCAAATCTATAGTGCCTGCCCATGAGAGTTAAAGTGAGATATAGAGGTTTCCTGCTCTGGTCTGGATCACAGCGATGCCTCACTATTGCAGGGGTGTGACCACAGCCAAGCAGAAAGCTGAAACAACAAACTGAGGACACTGACACAGGCCAGGTCACCCATATATTGCTCATAGCTTGTTTGTAAGTGGGTTAGGGCTGGGGGCTTGGAGAAGACCACTGATTAGGTAGTCATCATGATCAATCAAGCAGCTGGTTACCATGGTGAGAGGGGTCAGAGAGGTTTCAGGAAGTGAACCATTTTGACGGCTGCATAAAGGACATGTCTCACTATGAGCAGCTATGTGTACTGTAGTATGTCCATCAGAAAGTTTCTGCCTGTACTTTTTAGTACAACATT